CCGGTTAGTCGCTGGGCGCCACGGTTAATAGAATGGGATTCAAGTTAGACCAACCTATAACGCTCCAAAGCTCGGTGTCATCATGGGCATGACGAGGATCCAAGTTGTCACGCAAAGTGCCTTCGAACATGGCGGGATCTTGAGGGATGATAGCGAGACGTCCACGAAGATCAGTCAACCCGATTGTAGACACATCGAGCCCATCAATACTAAATTTTTGTTAGCCTAAAGAGCAGAGACAAAAAGTGACAGTGATATGTTCTTACCAGATGTTTCCTTCAACACCTTCGATAATGCGGAAGAGAGCCAGCGTGAGCGAACTCTTTCCGGCGCCCGTTCGGCCAACAACACCGATCTTCTCCTTGGGCTTGATGTTGAGACTAATATTCTTGAGCACGAGGTCAAGCCCAGGGCGATAACGGGTGCTGTAGTTATTGAACTCCACCGCACCTTGAGCCGGCCAGCCGATGGCAGGGCGACGCTTGAAGATCACGTCGGGTGCCTCACTCGGGAGATTGGCGTACTCGAGAACTCGCTCAACGGACACGATGTTAGTCTCAACCTCGACAGTCTGGCGGACAATCCAGTTCAGAGACTGCGTGATCTGGAGAGCATATGACATGGCCAAACCGACCATGCCCGACGAAAGCTTAGTACCAGTCGCAACGGACATAATCGCAAGTCCCGCGGATGCAAGAATGATGATTGAACCAATGAACTCAAGTCGAACGGCGAGCCAGCGGTTGGCACTGATGGATGGGAAGTAAGCCCGGAGGTTAGCATCCATGCGCCATTCGTTCTCAAGGGTGAACCGATTTTGCTGTTGGTAGGCACGGATGGTCGAGATGCCGCCCAAAGATTCCTGGAAGTGAGCGAAGATCGGGCTTCGGGTGACGCTGTCCAGGCGTTTCAACTCGCGGGAGGTACTCAGATAGTACTTCTGGTAGCTAAGGTAGATATAACCCAAAGGAATGACGAATAGCAAGAAAGCCGGGGTGGATGCCGAAATGACAATCATGGTAAACACCGCACGGGCAGAGTTTGCGAACAACATGTTGAAAGTGCGAGCAAGTACCTCATCGACTCTGTAAATGTCACTGGAGAAACGGTTCAGGATGCGGCCAGATGGTGTGGTTTCAAAGAAGCTCATGGGAGAGCGGAAGATAGCAAAGGCCATCCGCTCATGAAGTTTTCGAGATGCTTCGATAGAGCAGAAAATCCACAGGATCAAGTTCTGCACAATGACCAAGAGAGATGATCCCAGGCCAAGCGCCAGGTAGACACCAATGAACTTGCCAACTTGAGCATTCGTTCCATGAGCTTCGTTCCACTCAGTCCAGCGCTTCAACCAGAAGTTGCCGACAACTTGAGCAGTCTGAGCAGCCATCATGGCAACCAAATAAACCACGACTGCCATGACATTGCTATCCTTTGCGTATTGACCATAAACACCCCATTTCACTTTGCCTTGCTCTGAAACTTCTTGGGTCTGCTTGCTCTTGAGAACGTTCTCCTCATCTCCCAGCTTGCGCCGGGGACCTTGCCAGCTTACAGTGCTTGCACGGCGTAAGGTGACGGTACTGGTCCGTCTACGGGCCTCACCACCTCCTCCTCCCCTGATGGGAATAAGGTCACCAAGTTGTTCCGCCTCCTCGCTATCCGATACACCACCGTTCTGAACGATGGTGGTTGTGACTGAGCCTTCGGGGCTAGCAAGGTCTTCAGAGCCACTAGTAGTACCTTCATCGTCTGAGTCAACCATCGTAGAGCGAACGAGACTGGAAATCTCTCCCTTCATGGCCATCAGTTGTTCATAGGTTCCTTCCTCGATGATGGTCTTGTCCCGCAGCAGGCCGATGAAGTCAGCCTCCTTCAGTACAGTAATTGCATTTGTTGCAAGAATTCTGGTCTTGCCACTGAGGAGACCAGTTTTGCCGAGCACTCTGTTGATTATGTGGCGTCCGACATGCTGATCAACCGCCGAGAGAATGTCGTCCAGGAGATAGATATCAGCACGAGCATAGACAGCTCTGGCGAGTGTCAACCGTGCCTTTTGTCCCCCTGAAAGGGAAATGCCACGTTCTCCGACTTCGGTCTGGTCACCATCAGGCAGGTTCTTGAAGTCATCGAGCAAAGCACAAGCTTCAACGGTGAGATCATAGAATGAGGGGTCCCATCGGTGTCCAAAGACAATGTTTTCTCGGACACTGGCATTCATAACCCACGGCGCTTGGGCGACGTACGCGATCCGACCACGTACGACCACCTCTCCCTGGTTCTTCCACAGGTCACCCAGCAATGAAAGGAGAAGAGAAGATTTTCCAGCGCCAACGCGGCCAACGATACAGCTGAGCTCTCCCTTGCGTGCACTGAGATCGATGTTTTCCAGCACAGTCTCCCCACTATGACGGTTCCAAGTAAACGAGGCATCGCGAACACGGACAGACTCGTCACCGGGATGCGCCACGGGATCTTGGAAGACAACAGCATCAGTCTGCAGCTCCTCTGCGGTGAAGTATTCTATCAATCGCTTAACGGCCACGGAAGATTCGATAATGGATGTAATGACCATAGGCAAAATAGAAAGCGGGAATGTGAGCAAGTTGAACAACGTCAAGGCAGGGAACACTATCTCAGTAGTCAAAGGTTTATCGTTCGTCAACACAAAGACAGTGAATGTGGAACAAGACACGAGGAAAGGGGTAGACTGCCAGGTGAAGTTGGCAACGGATTGAGTGGCTCCAATTTTGCGGAGCGTGTTCAGCTCGAGATCGTTTCTGATATGGCTGAGCTTGTTCATGAAAGCCGTGTTCCAGGCGTACAGCTTGATACTCTTGATATTGTTCAGAATCTCAGTCATCAATCGGGTCCTCGAGTCCTTGTTCTTCATTTGGATGATCTGCAACTTCTTCATCATTCGAGCAATGACACCATTCAGAGGAATCATGAGAATCATAACTCCGATACCGGCAAACATGCTCGCTCCAAGAAGTTGGTAAAGTGAGACCATGCACAGGGTGATTTGGAAAGGCGCAGAGATAAGCTGAGTGCCGAACTGGGTCAGATCTGAAAGGCGCTGCTGATCAACTGCCATGTGGTTGACAATATCACCGGTCGTCTTTGCGGAGCGCCCTTCGTTTGATAGTTTCAGGGACTTGGCATAAATCATAGCAGTCAAGGCTGATTTGACTCTCATTCCAGTGTCGAAAGCACGCTGGAAGTATTGATGGAGGAAACTGGTCTGGCAGACAGAAACAACAAACATGGACAAGGCGATGGCGACACCCCTGATAATAGGCTGCGGGTCCGGGCCTCGATACGAATCAATGAAGGCAATGAGAAGTCGTAGGAGTTGCGGTTGCACAAAGGCAAGACAATCGCTTCCGGATTTGATTATCGCACCACGCACATAGGGGGCACCGAAAGCCTTGAAGAGCGCCGTCCACAGAGAGGGCTTCTTTTTTCGAGCTGTTCATTCCATGCCTCCTGCAGGGCATTGCCCGTGACTCGGGTGGTATCACGACTGCGGAGATTCCAGAGGTCATCTTGGGTCAAGTAGTTTTTGTATCCATACTTCATCATCGGGGTCATCCAACCGAAGGTGAGAACCGAGAAAACATCGGCATAATTGTAGGGACACTCATCCTCGTCTCCCAGCGCATCGTAGGCGCTTTGCTTCTTGGGCACGAAATATTCTAGCACAAATTCAAAGATTGCTAGTCCCAAGCTGACATTGAAGCAGACAAAATAAGGGAGGTGGTCGATGTATGCGTGGCGCGAAATCAGGGACCGGAGTTTGACCGCGTAGGCGATGATGAAGAAGAGCCAGTAAAATAGGACAACCCCATTGGGCTGCCTACTCCGCCAATGTTCGAAATATTGCACTGAAGTTATCACCCCGAGCGAAATTATTGTCAGGACGGAGGACCAGAAGCGAAAATCTGCCCAGAAGCTTTTGGGGTCTGATTCGACTTGGATCGCAGCTTGAAGGGCGGTAACGACAATGAGAGCGGCGAGAACGGCCTATGATGACCAAAATACCAGTCAGTAAATTATCAATGACGTCCACGGGTGTGCGAGGGTGTCCGGCATGTACTAACCAACTTGGTGTAGAAGTGCCAATTCTTCGATACGGGCTGCGGAATCCGCTTCCTCAGTAACAACCACAAGGCACCCAGTCCACTCAGCGTACCCCAGACAGCCACTACTGCCACAACCACGTCAAGAAAGCATGGCGTCAGATCGAATCTCAATGAGCTGAGAGGGCCCCAGCCCTCGCTATCTGTGCAGAAAGGCTGTCGCCGGGAATCAAGTGCCGATCCAAGGGAATGCAAGAGGTGCCCCGGGCGGGATGCCTCTAGGACCACCTGGGATTGGCCATCCAGCATTTTTCTTAGTTGCTTTTTCCCAGTATGCCTTTCTGTGCATAAGCAAGAAAAGATACAACGTTGGAGAACTACCTCGGAGAAAGAACGGGGGTGTTGGCGCAAGCTAGACTGCTTACAAAAGCAAGGACAGGCAGCTCCACTTTACAATGGAGAAATTCCGAGTTCGGGGCTGCTTACCATGCTCATTCCTACATAAGAAGTCGGGCTTATTACACCATACATATACACATGGAGGCAGGGTTGTCTGGAGTTCTTGCATGGAATTTGCGTAACATAAATTAACTACCTAAAAGTGTCTTCCTGAATCACCTCATTCCGATTTTCCAAGACATTCTCACGTGACCTACCACGACGTAATCTCTCGGGGATAAGCGCACTACCTAAGACCGATGCGGCTATCTCGGCTTATCGGTGTTGTATGGCAATTTTGGAAGGTTGACTTCTAGAACTATGTATACTGCTGGTCACTAATTAAAACGATCAGAACTGAGGTGTTTGTGGTATATTGTGTATGTAATAATTCAAAATGATGTCAAGTCCACAAATAACCAATTTTCAACCCATTATAACACAATATATTTCCTCGTTAGTGCTGTATAGAATCTTGAGATCTCAAGCTTTTCCCTTAGTAAATTCCTCAATAACATTTGTTATCTCTTCATTCCCCGAGGTATGTGCATATTCAGCTGCACTACCCCAGTTCCCTCTTATATATGGATCTGCCCCATGCTCTAACAACCACTTGACCCGCTCAACTGCTCCGGCCATCACCGCATACACAATCGCGTACTGCGCGACCATGTGTCTTGACTCTTCCTTCTGATTAACATCAGCCCCACGATCAACCAGTAGTGCCATTACTGGAATCCTGCTGATATCAAATTCCCGGCTCGGTACCACCCGCCCAGAATGTGGATTCGTACCGGGAGGACAAGCCCCGGCGGCGTAGTGTAGTGGTACACCGTTTTGAATCTTCGCACCCGCATCTAGAATCATACAAACAGCCTCGACCCCTCCATGGACCGCAGCTGCCTCGAGTGCAGCACACGAGGAAGTATCTGGCCCACCACGCCTGTCATGGGTCGTTTTCTGCGCACCAAGGTTGGGATTGGCTCCATGGTCGAGGAACCAGCGAAGAAGAGGGAGGCTCTTGACAGTCCGAGGGAGCAGGATACCACCATAGTAACCTGGGGTGTTGGGATTCCACCCATGCTGGGTAAAGAGCTCAAAGAGGGCAATTTGTCGTTCCAAAGTTACAAAGAAGATATTGCTTGGAGTTTCGCGAACAATTGGTGCGCCACTATCGAGAAGATAACGAGCGACCTCAATATTGCCAGAGCGTAGGGCAAGTGTAAGACCGTGGTGAATAAAAGCAGGCGTGAGATTGTTAGATGAGACAATTGACTGAATGATGGAGAGGGGGCCGTGCTGGCAAGCGGATTCAAAGGGCGCGAAGAAGGCGGGAACTAGACCAACCGACTTGGGATTTTCACCGATGAAGATAACATCAGCGGGCTCTATTATGGGCAGGTCATCATATTTCGACCCCATTGTCCCTGATTGAGGCTGCATTTGCTGTCGTAAAGGAGTGTCACTATTGCTGCTGGTGACTGGTTGTTGCTTAGCAGCCATCAACTGCATTTGTTGTCGGCGTGCATTTAGCATTAGCTGCTGTTGATCCTGCTGTTGTGGAGACATGCTGCCCACAGTGATGCTAAATTCTCGTCTTTTATATATTGGATTTTGTCCAAGCTGAGAGATCGACGAGGGCAGCAGTTTGCCAAAGAGGGCCTTGTGATGCTAGTCATGTGACAGTATAAATAAGCGGTTTCGAATATGTACTGACCAATGAAGGACAGGCCTTGATTTAGATGGAAAGTCAACTTATGGGTTAATTTGGGTGTATACGTGCCTTGATCTTCGGTCTGAATAATTTGTGGCAATATCAAAAATAGTAGGATGTTCGACTAGGACAAAGTTGAAGTGCGTCGATCATACTCGGAGACCTACCTCAATTCTGGACGTTCGCTGTGCTGTAGGATGTTGACCAATAGTTCAAAAACCATCTTGGCGGATACTGGGTTTGCTGGAAGTCGAGGCTTGTATGGTTGCCACAGGCACAAAGACAAGAGAAGCACAACCCGACCTTGTCTCTGGGTATCGGGCATGTGCGCTCCGTGATTGCCATTTATTCGACTCGCCTTTCGCGTCCCAAGAATTGTGTAGTGCTATTGCCAAGCGTGGATGCAGTGGGATCGGCAAGGTCCCTAGTGATGGATTGGTTTCCCCAGCCGGCAAAAATATAGGTTGTCCTCGGGCCGCATAAATTAGCCAAGAGGTAAAAGCCAAATAGACTCGATTGTTGGACGATTGCGTTTATAGTGAGTCCCTCTTCGGTAGGGGAGCCCACAGGCGTGCCTCGTGATAGCATATCGTGCGATATAGATAAAGAATTCGAGTTATCTTGATTATTTACAGAAGTACCCATCGATCTCGTTGGACTGTCTGTGATAAGCGATTCGACAAGCCGATTCAGTCGACTGAGCTTTTTGTCGATAAGCTCGATCTTCTCTTCGCCAAAAAGAAGATTTGAATTAGCATATGACACTACATCATTAGAGCTATCCAAGGTTACTATTGAGATGATATCAAATCTCGCGACCGCTTCTGTCTAGCAGCACGGTTGGATGCCTTGCAGTCTGATCCCGCGCATCGGCAATTTGAACAAGGGGACCTCTTATCACACCGTATATGATACTATAAGTCAGGAATTTCGACATATAGTAGAAATAGTAGATGAATTTCTAACCTTTCGTTTGCTACATCGATCACACTTGGGAAGTTAGTTTGCATATCAACCTTGCTATTTGCATAGAACTCCTACTGCTCGTCCCAAATGTAGAGAAGTATTATCCCCGCAGTGCTCAAACATGTTTCACAGAAAATTTAAAAGTAGAAGCGATAATATGCGTAAGTAAAAATCGAGAAGGTTGTGGATAAAGAATTCGTGACGGGCTAGAAGACGTTACGCGAAGCCCGCCACCTTTGAAGTATCCAAGGCAGACAAATTATCCCAGGGAGATGCATATAGAACACATAAGTTTTACTCTAATTCCACTCAAGTGTTCAGTCTAACTCAAAGCCCAATTGATCTACACGAAATCCGCAGTCAGTCAGTCGTGCTGATGATTAGGTATATTCTTGTCAGCTTTATTCTACTCAGTATTCGAGCTCATCCTTGGGACCAAAGACTTGCCAAGAAGACAAGACTATAAATACAGAGCCTTCATTCCTGATTCTAATGACATTTCTTTTATCGTCAAAAAAGACTTAACTGTCTATAAACCAAAGCGAAAAACCTATCAGATCTTTAGTGATAGGAAGTGGTGTTTATAACAATGCTCACAATCCTATTGTATCTAAGCCCAAGCAAACAAGCTTTGTTGTCATTGTCTCCAGCAGCAACTCTGCATATAGCTCTTTCAACATGATAGCCTAGTCCCGTTCATATAATTACCCCTTTGAGTATCAGTGGAACTAGAAGCACACCTTGCCCTTTACCCTCACAGAATCTTCTCCTGCCACTTCTTCTCTCAAAACTAAAGGCATTGAATGCAAAAGTTACATTGCCCGAATGGTAAGAGCAACAACATTGCTTCATCATCGAGTGAGACCTCATCAGCAAGTACCAACACTGAAAATATTGCTTCCTCCACAACACCACTACCTACCTAGCTTGGGTAGCAAGTCCACGGGTTTCTCTATCTTAGCATTTACTATATTGCTGCAGTTGAGGAACGCTAGCTGCCGGTACGGCGGACAAGAAATATTGGCATCTTCTATGATCACTGAGTCTGGCAAAGCTCTGGCAGCACCCATCATAACAGGAGTATCATACTCCTTCCCAATAATCTTTCACCAATCACAATCAATATCCAAAGCCCCGAAGCAGCATTTAACGTGTCTGCTGCGTCTTCCCACGTTGCAGCCTCCGACTCCACTAAGATTATTATTAACCCTTAGCCAAGTCAAAGGTGCTTAGAGTGAGATTGAAGATCTCATATCTGATCTGGGCTTCGTCGTCCTCGGAATGTGGTGCAAAGAAAAGGAGAGGTTTAATGGGATCTGTTGGAGACACCACAACCATATGTTCCTGTCTCGACGAGAGGTTGGAACTCATTCCAGATAACATCGATACGGATGATGCCGAAGCCATTAGCGACACCCTGGAGGATCTCATTACTGACAATTCCACTGTTTCCACAACAACCTGCTCACCCTCAAGTACTGGTACCACTATTGGGTACTCCGTCACTGGGTCAACAACCGCAGTTACTAGCTTAACCTCAACAAGTGATACTCAAATACTATGTCCTTCCGGTACTTGCGAAAAGTTGGGAGTGGTGGCCACGATCGAGCATTGTGCCTTGATCTCAAAGGATATTACCACTATTCTGCCAGCTGAGAGTTGTGGAATTGCGACAAGTAGTGGGCCCGCAAGACCGACACAGCCTGCCTCTAAGACAAGTGTCTCTAGCGGTAAAGATGAGAGAATGATGATTAGTTCGCTGATTGCATATGCTTTTCAGGACCTTTCTCCCCCTTATAGCAGCTATGTCAAGAGCTTGGCGCCAATTTGGATTGACCAGCTTGGACTAGTGTCTGCACAGTGGTTTGACTATCCATCATTTGGTCACTCAGCTGTAGGGGTGAAGGGCATTTACGGATGCACAGCAGTGATCATTGCATCCGAAAAGGGTGTGTACATTTCGCACATTTGGGAGAGCCCTGTGTTCGTTGATCAGGCTTTCAATCCAACCGATGACAGTTTTTTCACGATAAATGCGTTCAATTCCCTCCGAGATGGAACAGTATATGCACAAAGTGTAACTGATCTAATTGGGACTGACCAGAATCCCGGTGTCTTAAATGCAATCTACGCACCCAAAATATTCGTCCTCACGCCCTTCGCTACAGATTGGGATCGACGGAACTTTGGCATTTCCACCACACTCAGATATCAAACGCGTGCCCAAGAGCTCGCGCAGAAGGTAGCAAGCATTGTTCCTGGTGCCGGCGGAAATGGTATCATCCTGGGTTATACACGTACGAGTCGGCAGGCATCGAGTCAGGAACCAGGCATTGCAGGAAGAGCCATTTTGGAGATTGACCCTTCGTACACAAGGCTCACTACACCCTACGACTCGAAATCTACGGGCCTGCAAATTGGTCGTTGGCGTCTGTGGGTAGAGGATCAGTTGATTACTTACCAAGATTTCTGGCTTCCTCGTATTACAGCTCCTGGGGGCACTTCCCGACGAGATGGCTACGGCAACTCGTGTAGGAGATAGGTAGTTATGCAGTTATACCTATTCGAAATCGGATCTAGCATTGCTCTTCGACATTGATTCAGGCTGATATGAATAAAAATATAAGATTTTCTACTTCTTTTAAAAACAACTTTATATACTAGATTAACTCACAAATTCATTCTGAGCCCCACTACTAAGGTGCCCGTCTAGAAAAATGGGTACCGTTCACTGGACCATAATTAGGACCTGCTTATTTTTCAATAGCAGGATTCAATTGACGTGACTATATGAGGCTGAAGGATATCTGCCTCGCCTTCCTGCCGCCCAAAGAGAAATCAATCACCATCCCAAGAGTTTAAGCCCTTCACAATCTTGACGACTGTCTGCTGGCGCCTGGCTCTGTGGATAAATAATGGCTGAAGGGGACTACCAGTACAGGTTCGCTCGAAATCAGTTTCACCACTTTATTCTCTTCGGTTCTTGAATCTTGGCTAGATCCACTTCAGTCTACATCTGGCCTAGCTTATCTCGCTCTATCGAATAGGAAAATGGCTGTGAGCAAGAGTCTGTCATTGACTAGCCACATTAGGCCTAGCGTAACTAAAAATATACACTCGAGAAACATTCAAAGAGAACAAAATGTTGAAACTGATTACGATCCGTCCTGTATTATGTGTCAGGCAACGAGGCAGTGTTTGACTAAATATCAGACCTCTAGTTGAGCTATGAAAGGCTCAACCCCTAGATAGCTTAATTCATCATCCTTCATTACATCTATCTCTCGGTTCAAATTATGCCACCGCATACCCTGGATATATCTCAAGGTGCTCTGGCAAATCGACTTCGTCACTGTCATGTTTCACGACGAGGGTGGCATCGCTTGTCCTTGTAATAGAGGATCTCTTGGACCCAGAAAGATGGAGGGCATTATCGATTAGCGACAGCTTTCGAACAACGTCGTTGGACCCGAAGGAAATTCTGTGTGTGTCATAGGGCACCCATACTGCAACAGGCATTGGGGTGGTGTCCTGACTTGTGCCCGGTCCCTCTGGAAATGAAAATGAGCTTGTGATGTAACCTGCGAGATAAAGCACGGGGCTGAGATCTGGACCAAATACGTCCAGCACTCCTGTCTCTGAAATGTCAACGTAGGAGTTGTAATCTCCATGAGCATTGATCTCACTCCACGGTGATACAATCGCAAGCAGTACCTTCAAATCTCCCACATTCAAGCCAAATAAGCTAGCAGCTTGTCGTGAACTTCTTAATCTGATATCTCCCAATATGATATTTTCGTAAGAAGTGGAAGAGATCCAGAAGGTCCAGACGGCTTGGAGGAGGACAAGGCCCCCCATCTCGTCACGGCATGGCGTTTGGATGAGGATGGCCAGAGAGACATGGTGGGAGATGTGACCTGTGAGTCCAACTTGGGCCCCCGCTAGTGTTTCCATATGCACATAGTTACTAATCCATATTAGATGCACTAGACGAGGTTCTCTGGCTTGCAGGTGGGGGATTCCATACCACAGATGGAACACCTGTGGACAGCTTCATGGCTACGATGAATGCGCAAACGTTCGCCTACTTTGCTGTGGCATACTGGTATTCTGTGCTGGAATGGGTTGGTAAAAAAACGGGCCTCATTCTTTAATGGAAGGCCTGGATTAGCCGAGTGATTGGGATAGACGGAGGTTCGAAAGTGGCTTGTGATTTGTGCGCAAGAGATTAAATAGGGAAGCAACTCCGCTAGGATAGTTTGAATTGGTATCACTCGGGACGCCGTCGACTGCCCATTGTAAATTTCTCTATAGCGTTCAAATTTGCTATCATTTGTTTCCTCCGTTCCACGGGATCAAGCGGAACCCTTGGCTGATGGCCTGACTGTTGCATCCATTTCACAATCTCCTCCTGTCCATTATTGATAGCTAGCAAAAACGGTGTATTGCCCATGTGGCAGGGGCAATGAGGGTTGCATCCTTTTTCCAAGAGCAGCTTGGCAATATTTGAGTGACCATGCACAACCGCAAACCAAAGAGCTGTAGATTCGCCGTCGCATTTAGCATCGCCTTTGACGGATTCCTGTTCGATGAGAATCCTGGCTACAGCCTCGTGGCCATGAATCACAGCCAGCATCAATGGTGTTATGCCCCATTGTGCTCTCGATTCGAGCTGAATCCCCGGCACGTTGATCAAAACCTCCATCACCTCAGCCTGTCCATGCGCTGCTGCGTATGCCAGCGGCGTCCAGCCACGCGAATCCTTCGACTCGATATTCACCCGGTTTGTAGCAAGAAGAATCTTCAGAACGTCAACGTGACCATTCATGGCAGCATATGATAATGGAGTCTGTCCCTGGAGCCTTGGGGGGCGAATTCGGGCACGGCCCAACACATCAGGGTCGATCCCTGGTTGATCAAGAAGTAATTTTACCAGTTCTTTGTTGCCATCTCTGGCTGGTGCACTGAGCGGGATTTCCGAATATTTGTTCTGCTGATTGACATCCACTCCGGCATTTAGTAGGAATCGAGCCATGCTTAGATTTCCTGCGTTTGTGGCTAGGTGGAGAGAAGTGTCGCCCTTGCGGTTCGTTGCTGAGGGCTTGGCTCCATTGGCGAGCGCTTGTCGGGCGGTTGACTCATAGCCTTTGTCTGCTGCCCATAGCAAGGCTGACGCATTGGATCTCGTTGCATTGCGAGCGTAAAGGTAGTCGATTAAGATATCGAAAAATTGGCGATTCAGCTGAGCGAACACCGAAACATCTTTTTCGCTCAAAAGCTCCGCAATGGCTTGTACCAATTCTGTCGGAAGATTCGATAAGCCCATCGGATTTGAATGATTTCACGCCTGACCATGAGAGTTGTGAGAGGAAAGGCTTGTATCAAGAGCAGGGCTTTGCCTTTATGTACGACTGGGAAGGGTCCCGCAGTGGACTAACTGTCCTGGGGCCCTTAGGATTTTTTATTTTTTTACCAAAATTACAGACCCTCGCAAGACGAGGGTCCCGGGCTAGTGAGGAGTCGCGGGATCCCTCCACTGACTCCCCTTTCGGAAAAGGGGGAGAATTGATAAAAGATTGAAAGAATTGGCAGAATGTCTTGAAGGTTGAGTTCCCTGACTTTGAAAAATCATGACGTCGCGGTAAATAGCGGCCAATTGGTCCCAAACGCCTAGAAATTATTGTCTTAGCACTCTTGTATGGGTGATCCCTTTCATTTATTATATTTGGGCGTCGTATGTGTCCTAGTTCTATATATGGATATCATCCAAAGTCGATCCACACCGTCTATTCTATAAGACATTGTTTTTCGGCTTCTGCTAACTAGTTATGTAGTAACTAGTTACTTAACCCTGGAGGTAACTAACCTTGGAACCTCCAGGGCTGGAAGTCGTAATAACTTACAAAGCACGGGGTGAATGCTTTCCATCTGATCACCGTCTTTCATACTGGACGTGGCTCACCATTTCTATACACATTAGCTCTATGTTAAGTTCTGCCAGACAACTAGGGTGTGGGGACCTCCCTCTTTGAACTCCAAAAACATCGCCTTTGACCTGAAATAATCTGAATATGCAGCCTTTCCAGTTGCATTTTGAGTCGATTTGAACCTCTTCAGATATGGAGAGCTTTGATGATGTTTCTCTTATCGGACTAGTGTCCCAGGATACACCTTTCCACGATGACCATCTCCCGATTCCATGCCCTTCAGATCCGAATTTGGCGAAAGAAACCACAGGGGGACCAACTTCGACCCAAACGACAAGCATCAGATCGTCTTCGCAGATAGAGCGCACCGATGATGCTGGAATAATCGATGACGCCTCCGTCGTGTCGGATTTCCCGTTGCCGCACAACCCGCTGCCTGGAGCTCAGATTGAGGAGGAAGAGGAAGGGGACGGGGAAGACGAGGAGCCGCAGGTGGCAACTTCCTTTGAGCGACTCTCCAGTGCGTCCCTACTCTGCAGTACGTTCCTACTCATAGTTGGAATCTGCTGGGTCTCTGGCTCTGTGTCCACCGCCCCCGGGTTGGTGTCGCCGAGCCCTAGTACGTGGTCTCATATGTGTAGACTTCAGTTTTAGGTTATGTATCATCAGGCTTTAGTTATGGTTCATATAATTGCCTGTGATTCAAGTCTTTAGCCTAATATCCTTGATAGCCTTGTGACAATGGCCAAATGCCCGATTTGTCCTTCGATCCTTCGGGCCATGAAAGAAACTAATTTTGTGGAACCTTTGTTTCCTCTCCAGAAGATTCTCTCAAAGCCAGTTTCGGAGGGAAGTTCGTTGGTCGCTGCATTTCATGTATAGTCCCTCTGAGACGCTCGATCTGGAACGACCTCACTGTTAACATCTTCTTGCCACCTCACGAGAAGCTCTACATAGTCCAACTAGTTATAGACACAGATCGCTTACCGAATACGTTATGTACTTAGTCAGCTGATTATTCATTTAACTAGCTGACCTTGGATATGTGGCAGAAAGTCGACTGACCATAGACTCAATATAGTGGATTATATAGCTAAACCTACACTACCTTCTAATTCGGAGAGTAGTACTTAACTATAGGCTAATTTACGAGCTCGTAGGCGTGTGAGACGCGATAAGGATATATATGATTATTATTAGGGAGAGAATACAATTATATAATCTTATTTTTTATCAAAATAATCTCAGATATATAAATGAAATATAGAAGAATTCAAGGAAAATTATATAAATTATAAAGGTCATATACTCTACAATTCTACTCCACTTTAAAAACCAATTGGGGCCCTATAAACCATTACGGTTTACAGACCTCGCCCCAAAACCCGCCCCAATTGCGGTTTAGGGTGGGGCGGTTTATAGGTTTTGCGGTTTATGGCGAAGTCTAGTCGATATTTATAGAAACTTAGGGAAGTAGAACGGTTAACAGAGGAGCCATTTTTAGCTCCCCTCCGCTAGGAGGGTGACTAAGGGTGAACGAGGATAGGGCCCTATAGCGGCTGCGGCACGAATGGACATCGGTCGATCAATAGGCCAGGCACCAGGCACGGCCAACCCGAAGCACGGGTGGCAGTAAACGGGGTTGTCCGTGGGCTTTGGTACACGTGACGCCAAGACCGACCACGGTGAGCGAGCGGCCTAAAACGGCGTCAAAAGCGGCCGTTTCTGGCCTCCCATTCACCGTGTCATCCTTAATTATAGTATAATCTAAATAGGGCTATAAATATTATATCTACCGCTTTATACGCCCCTAACCTGTGTGTTAATTTTTGGATCAGTACATAGTAATTATACATGAAAATTTACCGTTCAACATCGGAACATGACTGACAATACGGACTAACCTTATCTGGATCAACTGGTCATGTGATTAGGGTTTGAAAGAGCATCTCTCTCTACTCCCAAACATGGAAGGCGAAGTCGGGCGCCACTGTTTATCAAGTTGCTTTTTAAAGAGGCGATTGATTAAGGAATTTTAGATCAAAAGACATCAGAGGCTTCAATAGCTTTAATTGCAGCAAAAAAGACGTTCTAATGGGCAGAACACAGAAAATTCCGGACATATCAAGTGGCTTTCTAGCTCCCATGCCCACTAGAACGGTCGCCAACACACGTCATAAATGCGAATCTCTTGTTCCCGAATCACGTGATGACAACAGATACCAGAAAAGGAAAAATCTTGGAAAGTGTATAAAACGTAGATAGAAATAGGGCTAGAGAAAAGAATCATTGTCACAAATAATGCTCTACAAAGGCGTCAAATACAATATCAAGAACACGGGAAAACTATGTCCATGCGTGTAATTTCCTAATCGGGAGGCCGACTCGTTGATATCTGCGAGCACAGCCCACAAGTCCAGAATTAATGGAAAAAGAGCGTTCTCGAGGTCCTAAAGGAGGCTGAGTAAATCTTCACAATATGACTCAAAATTATTGCAGATTCAATATCTAGACATAAAAGCGACGGCAAAGCGCGTAGAGTCCACATAGTGCCCGCATTATTCTTAGGCGGTAAGAGCCCACTTATCAGCGTCATTGGAGGGGCACCACGATCTCATTACACATTCTTCGCCCAGCCCATCATGGTCGACACGACTCAAATGGAGGAGCTCTTGAAAAGGCCTCTCTATGGTACGCCTACGAAGCCCCATATCGTCGTTGATCCATTCCGCTGATCTCTCCAGTGTACGATCTGCCGCCAGAACTTCTTGCAAGCTTAACGGCCAAGACCACAAGCCAGCCCGTCGCCGAACAAGACCCCGAACCCTCTTCGATAGACCTCGAGCTAGCAGCACAGGACTCTGCGATCGCAACCTCCAACCTATGCTCCCTCTGCAAGGTCTCTTACAACAGTGTACAGGAACAGCGCAGCCATGTTCGCTCGGACCATCACCGGTATAACATCAAAGCCCAGCTGCGCGGGAATGCGCCTCTGGAGGAAATCGAATTTGCGAAGGCGATCGGAGAGCTAGACGAGTCTATATCCGGTTCTGAGTCCTCGGAGACAGAGGAGGAGGAAGCAGAGGCGGTCGCGGGCACAACGCTGTCCGCCCTGCTGAAAAAGCAGGCCAAGCTATCCCACCCGAACGAGGATCCGGAAATGACGGAGACACCAATCACTCCGAAACACCCCATATTTTGGCTGTCTAGCTCGGGATTGCCATCAAATAAGTCCCTAGGCGTCTACAGAGCCATTTTCTCAAATGTCGAGCAGGATGAGCCCGCCCACCTGGTTGATACACTACGACGAAAGCAGCTTGCGCCTATTAAAGCGCGCACCAACAAGGCAAGCAATGTGCCAGACCCCGCTACTTCGGGCCCGCACATTTTCATGTGCATGATCGGAGGTGGCCACTTCGCGGCTATGTTGGTTTCGCTAGCACCGGAGATTCACCGAAAGCAAGGAGGAGTTGAAGACAGACAGGCTCGGGTCATTGCTCACAAAACGTTCCACCGATACACGACGCGGCGAAAGCAGGGTGGTTCGCAGTCTGCCAGTGATGCGTCACGCGGTGCAGCCCATTCAGCAGGTTCAAGTCTGCGCCGGTACAACGAGGCTGCACTTGAGAAGGATATCAGAGAGGTGTTGTCGGATTGGCGAGAGATGATTGACACAGCCGAGCTGTTATTCGTCCGAGCTACGGGAAAGACAAATCGAAAGACTCTTTTCGGTCAATATGACGGACAGGTCCTCAGGCAGAATGACCCCCGAGTACGAGGGTTCCCCTTCAATACTCGCCGCGCGACTCAAGGGGAGCTTATGCGGTCCTTCAAGGAGTTGACCAGACTGAAGGTCAGCGAGGTGGACCAAGCCGCACTGGCTGCGGCTGAAACCAAGCGGCGGGAGGAGGAATTAAAACCATCTACACCTATCCCAAAACCGCAACCACAGAAGCCGAAACTTTCGAAAGAAGAGGAAGCTGCCTTGTTGCACACATCCCAACTACAGGCACTCATTCGCCGCTCAAAGGTTCCCGCCCTTATGTCCTATATCACAAACAACTCCATACCTCCTTCTTTCACCTTTACGCCCGGCGACTCTCCACAAAACTTCCGCTGCCCCACACCCCTCCATCTCGCCGCAAATCTCGATGCACCAGCCGTAGTCACGGCCCTCCTCACAAAAGCCGGGTCTGACCCAACGGCAGTCAACAACGAAGGCAGAACTCCATTCGAACTCACCGGCGACCGAGCCACGCGCGACGCCTTCCGCATTGCGCGCCACGATCTCGGCGAGCCAAAATGGGACTGGGAAGCAGCCAAGGTTCCATCAGCGGTCTCCAAAGCCGACGCCGAAAGTCGAGCTGAGAAAGAACGCAAAACCGCCGAGGAGGAAGAATCCGCCCGGCGCAAGGCTAGCTTGGATCGCCTAAAACGCGAAGAGGCTGAGAAGGCGGCGAAGCCGAGAACGACTAAATCTGGTGGTCGTACTGTGGGCGCTGTTGAGAAGTCTGCAGCTGAAAGGAGAGATGAGGAGACTAGAGGCATGACGCCGGAGATGAGATTGAGATTGGAGAGAGAGCGCAGAGCGAGGGCTGCCGAGGAGCGCTTCAAGAGAATGCAAGGTTAATGAGGTTTTGTTGTATACCCTTTGAGTATTGAAGTTTTGACGGCGTGACTACCGCCAGGGATATTTCACTGCTAAGTAGATATTGGCTCTGGGTTTGCCATAGATGAAGGAAATTTCATTTTTAGCATCTCTTTTCCTTCCTCGCCGGTCCGGCAGTTACTCGCTACACTTCTCATAGTAAAAATCGGATTGTAGTCACCGCCATTATTCCTATTTGAAGCAAGCATGTAACAGCATTAGAAGTTTGAGAGCTAATAACACCAGTATCATTAGGAATAATAATCCTCAGCAAAGCAACAAGTTATTTCATCGTCACTCAATGACCATCCCTAGAAAGCAAGTTACACTGGCAATAGTCCTTGATCCTTCGGGCATATGGCCCACGACCCACCGAGGGACAGGAGGGGGCAAGGGAAGGCGACGATAGCTCTTACTGGGACCACACGGATAAGGATAGGGGAGGAGGGCTTCCACTGTCCATTGGGCACTATGAATCCAGGGTCCAGTGTAATAAGCCCACTTCTGCTTGTGTAGCCTCTCTTTTCTTATCCCTGTGTTTCGGGTAGGGTTAGTAGTCACTGTAAAGAATAGCGGATCCTTATCGTGTGACTATGGGAGTACTAGTAGGGCAGGGGGATAGAGAAGAGGGGGACAACTCGATACAGAAATAGGGAGTGTTGATCAGTAGCGAGCCTGGAGAGATGGTCTCACTTCTAGGCTAATGGGCGGTCGAGCGATGGGGATGTTGATTGTTGTACACATGACTCGGAGTAGATGGCCTCGGTCTGCAGGACGAGTGGTAGACCTCGAGTGTTGTGGACCGAGCTCTTCTTCCATAGCTATTGAAATTCTAGAAAAGCTACGCTACATCAAGTCTGATACTATAAGCCCTCTTTTAGAAGGGTTCTGATACCTACCTGGAGCGAGGCAATAGAACACAGCACGCAGCCCCTAGAGCCAACCACAACTTCCTGCCAGCTCTAATAGTGTTCTCGAGAAAAAGAAAAGAAAAGCAATAGTGTACGGAGTAAAAGGCCGGGTCCTTAGAGAGTGATCGCCAGCGGAATCACACAACTTTGCCCCAGAAGGCAAGACAGGGAGAGAGTGATGGGGTAAGAGAACTGCCAAGAGACCTATATTGAGTGATGTCTGAGACGATGAGGCCGTAAAGGCGAACCTGTGAAACCTTAGTATCTTGCCCTATCCAAAAGCGGGACCTAGAGGGGCAAGTACAATCCCAGCCACATTAGGGCTTGCAGATTGAAGGAATGTGGAGATATGATCGACATTAGGGCCCGTGGGAAGGGGCTTATGTCTTGCATCAACGCCACAGGGTGCAGGAGAAGCTTAGATAGCATCTATCCGTACATTGGATAAGAGAGCAAAACCTTAGAACTCAGAGACTTTCATCCATTCTAGATATTGTGTTTATTGCGCTGTACTATTGACGCTTTGCTTCCCTGTGCCCTAACTGACCTTGTGTTAATGAATGATTTTTGGTGGGAAAAGTTCCATCCTCGGGCTACCCCTTGCATGAGATTGGATTTTGATCAGTGGCTGGGAACACGGGTCTTGGAATGGAGGGTGGCTAAGGAGTCCACGGGTACTTCGAAGGCTCTCCACTCGGTATTATTGTACGGAGTAGATAGAACTAAGTCCCTGTGAATGGTCATGGGTCTAGTGGCGCTGTCAGCCCTTCTAGTTAAGCTGGGTTCCAAGGAGCAGACACCCCTTTTCGATTAGCACAAATGAAATATTATTTACCAACTGCTTGTACATCATAGTGAGTGTAGCAATGAAGCTATGTGTTACGGATGTGTAAAGGGCTTGTCGGCCCGCAGTGTGCAGCCAGTCTGCACCCCACAATGTGGTAGATGCAGAGCTCTGCAAGATAATGCAGGCTGTATCTTTGCACGAGCTGGCCTGAGTAATCCCAGTAAGGCGAAGCAAGGGCAGTCAGACTTTCTTACAGTACAGTGTAGAAAATCCCCCGAGTGGGATGACCCTGGTTGATCCTACAGGGCACATGGCATCTAAGCATTGACCCACGAGTAGTGGTCCGTTTTTTCACATACATGCTGTACTCCATAGCTAGTGTACTCCATACTGTATGTATGTCGTTAGGGCTCAAAAGTCTTGGCGCGCCACATCGCGTTACGCGAAACGCGCGACGCGAGACGCGTCCACGCGTTGAAAATTATGAATGCACCATGCCACCATTCCACCATTCCACCATTCCACTAAGATATTATTTAAGGTCTAAGAGTAGGATTATACAAGTGGAAGTGTTCAAAGGTCCTATAGTCCTAGAATCCTAGAGTCCTAGAGGGCTGGCATGGTAGGGAACAATTCTCCTGGGCTGGTGAAGGGTAGAAGAAGGGTAGGAGAACAGTAGGAAGGGAACTTCACCCTCTTTCAGATCATTATTAAAACGCGACTTCCCCCAGTGGCAAAGATGGAGATCAGGAAACCAAAGAAGTAGTATGACATAGTATGACATCGCGCGTCTAACCTCTAGGCCTGTGCTTGGATACTTGGTATGCAACCCCAATGCACGCCATTGGCGTTACAGGCTTTAATTCCATTGCAATACACCAATACAATCATGATCTACGACAGCAAATTCAAAGAAACTCGAGTGCGCAGGGGTTGATCTGTTGCCTAAATAGGAAATGTAATTGGAAAAAGTGTCTCAGGGGTGCCTCGTGCCTGTTGCCCTCTCTTTGTATGCGCCTTGCATGTAATCCCTCTTGTCCTAGACTCCTTAGTATACTGTTTCACTGGTCTACAGTTCCAAGTCCTTCATCAAGTACTCCGTAGCAAGTATAATAGAAAGGCCTTCATTCCTGTTCCTATCCAGTATTCCCATCATCAGCTCCTATCATCAGCTCCTATCATCACTTTCGTTGACCCTGAGATCTCTCACACTCCCTTCTTTTTCAACTGTTTTCAGCTCTTTCAAGTGTTTCATAGTTCTTTTGAACCTTGAACCTGAAATCAATAATAGATCTCAAACACATTCTTTGTGACCGAAAATAAACCTAACGTTGCACGTTGCACGTTGCACGGGAGATCATTCGCTTGACCGTTTGCGGCCCCAATTTTCTTTTTATCGCATTTCCCCCTCCAACTTCTTCTCCCTACAACACTCGCTACCAAAACATTCATATCACCAACTTGCTGTCGCATTCCCCGGAAAAGGTGGAAATTGAAGCGCATTTCAACGACAAGATCATCCATTCATTTTCGCATCCCCAACTCCCTCGTCGCGCATCGCAACCGCCTCCGGCGCAATCGCAGCCTACCCACAAATCGCGCGACCGCGCAACAACACTTGACTATCTCTCTTTCTTTGATATAATTCATCTTCAAACCAACTTCAATCACTCAAATCGCGCATTACATTTATATCCACAATCATGCTGCTCCCATCCGCCCTCCCATGCGAAGTGCGCCGGTCGTCTCGCTTCACTCCCAGTCGCCTATTCTCGACACCTCCCCCATCCGACACAGGATTTCCATCAGGCAACGGTCTCCTCGGCACCTGCCGCGCACTACAATCTCTACTCAACAAATCGCCCACACCTGCATCGCGATCAGTGAAATCTCAACGCCTCCAGAGCCCCATCCCCTTCAACACACCCCGTCGCTCGCCGCGATCGCACAAGGCCGCGCGCCCCGTCTCTCCTAGACAAACACCACCACCCAGAACTGCCGCTCTCACACCCCCTCCTCCTCCATCCGCACCCACCCGCGGCGCAAACAAGCGCCGCCGCAACATTTTCGATGATGATACCAGCGACGAGGAGATGAGTCGCCCGCGCAACCGCTTCGCGACTCCCAAACGCCGCCGTCACATCCCCTACAATATGCCTCTCGGCCTTTCCTCTACAGACTTTTACTCCCTACACTCTCCCCCTGTCACCCAATCCCCTCCCTCTCCTCCCCGTCGCCAGATGGACTATGACATCCCAGCTGGCGCACGCGTCGACCCAGACGCGCCTCTGCCCTCCATCGAGGTGACAGATGAACGTGCCCCTACTTCAGCTCCACAAGACTGGACCGCCGAAGAAGACCAACACCTTCTCGAGCTGGTCCTCGAGAAATTCCGCCTCTCCCAACAAGAATGGGACGAGTGTGCGCGCCAAATCGGTCGCAGCCACGTCGGGCCCAGGTGGCAGTCCCTCGTTGGTGAGGGTCGTGTTGGCCTGCGTCCGCGTCGGTGTTGAATATTGCTTATTGCAATTCTTACTTGTTTTATTAATGTATTATATGATCTCTGTACCACCCTGTGACTGACCTTATTCCTATTACCCTTGCTTGGCTTGATTTCTTTGTCAAAACACCCCTGTATTATCAGACTTTCTTGTATTTGTGAGACTTGTTCGTTTTATTTACGGTTTGTTGTCTATTGACTAGCACAAGTTGCATTTGTTTTCTTTGGTGTTGTGAGTTCCGTTCTACTCGGGCTATGTGAATATGCTTCTGCTTCTTTTGCTCATATACTGTTCTTTTTGTGTGACTTACTCTTCCACATCTATTGTTTGTTTGGGAATTGTACTACTATCTACTACTACCAACTTGACTTATATTTTTCATTGTCTATTACTCCAACAATAAGATGGTAAGTGTAGATTTGACTATTGCTCAATGCATGCTTGTGTTACAATCGTCTCATCGTATCTATATTGTTTTTGAATATCCAGCTCTCTTAGCTCAGTTGGTAGAGCCAGACTTTTATCTGACCCTATGAGGCCTAGGATGGATATACCTAGAGCAGAGTGAAAACATGCTATTATACAACTTCAACCCTTTTCCTTGTTACTGAATCTCTTTAAGGGTCAACCTCAAACTCAGCTACAAGCATATATTCAAGATACGGGAAATGAAGAATTGGATACTTGTGAAAAATTCAGTATGTATATGGCTCCATCCAACGCCAGACACCGATTGTGCTGCGCAAAGTAAAACTAACAAGATGAAACCGGACTCAAGTCCATTGATATCAACACTGTTCGTTGGAATTCTTCCCATACGAACTCAAACAACCTCAAAATTCCGAGAATGATCAGAATCTAAATAAAGCAATTGAGTCAGCAACAAAAATCATAACCAGCGGAAAGATATAACACATACCGAATCTCATAGCTCCCTGCGCGAGTCATATAGCGCACCCACTTGACAGAGCTGTAGTTATTCTTCTCAAAGACCTTAAGATAGCGCACCAGCAAACCCGAAGAGGTAAACATAAGCAAACTAAACGAAAGACTCAATGGCGGCCGACTCCAAGCCTTCTGATGAGTCATAGTCGTAAGCATTGCCTCCGCATTAAGCACATACTCCGACTGTCCAGAGAAGCGCGCAATCTTCCAAACAATATTGTTCTGCTCCGGCTCATACTTAGCGCGGCCCTGGCTCGTGCGCTCCGTAGTCTTGGCAGTATTAAGCGGCGTGGGGATACGAATAACGACATTCGTAGCGAAGAGCTTGGAGCTATAATTCGCCTTGATAGCAACACTGTATTCAACCTTCGTAGTACCGATCTCGCGAACAATCGGATGCACCTTGAAGGGCAAGTTGACGTTCTCTGTAGCGCGGTAACGCATCAGCTCGAACTCGCCGTCCGGCGGCACGAAGGAGATGATGCGGTCTGCGTCGAATCGGCCCAGCTTCACGCACTGGTGGAACTGGCAGTCTTCCAGCGTGACGGAGCCTGCCGCGGCGCGCGTTGTCTTCGATGTGCTGAGGCCGTTGCCGCCGCCGGGATTGTTCATGTTGCTGGAGGTCTCGCCGGTGTCTAGGAGAAGACGGTCGTTCAGGCCGAATTTGCATTCGGGCGTACCGGTTAGATAGGCGCGCATGACGATCTGGCCGTTGACGTCGGCGCGGAGGACGGTGCCTGTTGCGGACATCAGGAGGTTGACGTCTTCGATTACGTCGACGAAGGCTTCATTTTTGCGGTATTTTATGTCGGAGCGGCGCCAGGAGAGAGCGCCTGTTGCTTGTTGGGTGATTCGGGAGGAGTCTGTTGGGGAGTTGGCGATGGCGGATTTCACGCCTTCGGTTGTGATGTACATTTTCAGGGTATCGGGATCGGTGTTCTGGGGGTAGCCGAAGTCGAGGATTTCTGTATCATCAATTGTTAGGGTCTGCTTCTAGGCCATTGGGCCTTTTCTATGTCTTACCATCGAGCAGTTCGTAAATCAGGACGAAATTGTTCTTCACGGCCTCCTCGTCGAGCTTCCCGAAATAGCTCTTGCCCAGCATGACCAGCCGGTACAGGAACTCGAAAACCAGCGCGGCATTGGCATTACTCTTGGTCACAGCTACCAGGTAGATGTTCTCGTGCTTGACATGGCTAAAGGTCGTCGAGCCCAAGGTCAGGATCGGCGAGCGCACCTGGGGATTGGAGATGACTTGAATGCGGAAGATGTCGGCCAGGCGCGGACGGCAATCGCTACGGAAGGCGCGAAAAATGAGATTTTCGCCCTTCTGATTGAATATGAGGATCCCCGAGAGCATATTGTTGTGATGAGTCGAGTTGCTCCTGGGGATGGGAGTTGGAGAGCTGCGGAAACAGGGGTGGGGTGGATCGACACCGCCTGAGGTATAAAAGGAGGTCCACGGTTGCTCTTAAACTACTTGAACCCCAACTGCAATGAATGAACCAGAGGGTTGTATCGCATGCGGCTGGACATTCGACAAACAAAACGGGCAATTATTCTAGCCACCTTAAACTATTCTACGGTGCATCTAAACGGGGTGTTTGGTCAATCGGTTCTGATGTGATTTTGAAAGACCGCCCGGACGAGGGTCCAAAAGCAAAAGTTGAAGTCAAAACACTAAACCACCTGGCAACCTATACCGATATCCCTGCTCCAAAGGTTCTGCGTGACTGGGTCGATCGCGATGGGTGATACTTTGTTATGAACCGTTCGAGCGCATACATGGCCAAACACTCGAGGAGACATGGCCTTCGTTGTCAGGGCCCCAAAAAGTGGCTAGCGCGGATCAAGTCGTTCAAGTGCGTAAGCAGCTTCGATCCGTCACGTCAAGATCTATCGAATGTGTCGATCATAGCCCATGCTATCCAGGTCTACTGTTTTTTAGTCTTGAACCCCGTGGACCGTTTCATTCCGACCAAGAACTCTGGGATGCCCTCAGCATTAACCTTCACCATCTACCCCTGAAAGTGTTAGAGAACTTAAAGAAGCGCCTACCCAAATGCGAGCCCTATGTCCTCACTCATTGCGATCTCAATTTGGGCAACGTCATGGTCCAAGATGGGAAGGTTGTTAGTATACTCGACTGGGAGTATGCCGCCTATTTTCCTATCTGGTATGAATATGTCTCGGCCTCTTTCGGATTTACGGATATGGATGTTGAATGGAAGAAGTTGCTGCAAGAGCGCTTAGGCGTACATGACGAGGCACATGAAGATGCCAAGGCATTTTGGACAGATTTGTGTAATCTAAGACAGTATCCGGATTTGGATGAGAAAGGTCAGGAAGCCTTGACGAGACTGTCTTGAGCTAGTGACAAAATCCTTCAGAAGGCGAGGCAACAAGTCCAACATAAAGGCGAAGCTGAGATAAAGCCCATGGTAATAGATTAAGAAACCTCCTAGATAGCCCGATGCAGACTATTATGCAGGCAAAGCAAACACTGACTTGCATCAATGCTATATGTACAAATATCATGTATACATGGACCGTGGGCTGCTCTACTACTATTAAACATCAACGTGGGGTGAGCATTAAAGCGGAGTGAAAGCAAATCCGCGATGTAATTCTTTTTCAGAATGCTAGCAAGTCTAAGGGTGAGAATGCAGTATGACAGCCAGATATGAATAAAGAGGCATGGTCAAGATGACAATAAGAAATCAGGGTAAAGTAGCCCCTAGGGGAATCAACAGGGATATGTAGACGAAGCTGACAGAAGAAATGTAAAAGAAAGGTATCAGATCACAAAAAGATTAAAAAAAACCTCGAACTCAAAAGACGAAGGTATATAAGGAAAGATCCGGTGTCGAAAAAAACTGCCGCGGGATGGATATCATGCAGAGGTCCCAGGAAGGGAACAAATCACAAAGATGTACAATCAGAAAGCAAAAGGGGGAAACGGCGCACTCCAGCCGACAAAAACCCATCAAGATCCAGCCCCAATACCAGTACTCGGCCTGGTATTAGGAGCCGAAGGAGCCTCACTGGGTACAATACCAACCTTAGGATCGGGAATCTGGATATCAAGCGACATATACGCCGTCCGCCTCAAGCTCCAGATATGAACACCATCCTTGGCGCCGACCTCACGGTTCCAATTCTCCAACCAAGCCTCGACATGCTGCAGCTGGCTTTTCGTCGCGGGGGCATTGAGATCATCCCATACCCAACCAGTCAACAAACCCACCGCGCCATCGAACCAATTCCGAAAACTGAACGGATCAAATGCCTTCACAATACCATCATTGACGGTGGAGATAACCCTGCGAAACTCCTGTTCCGATAACAACGGATCAAGAATCTCGGGATACAGATTCGAAAACGTCGGCGCCAAATCACCCTTAATCATCCAATCGCGCCGGATCCGAATAACACGCGTTGTCATATGCTCCCTCGACCCGATAGGCACATGGGGATTAATATGCGGGAAGCAAGGGTGAGCCGGGCCCCAAGCGAGCTCCTCGGCGACATCAGCGTGCGGGTTACCGGTATGCGACGGTACGGAAGCAATCTGGGACTGTGAGCGAAGGGAAGTTTGTGACTGGGCGTGACGGGGACGGTCATTCTGTCGAGTGCCGTCCTGTGTAAGATGGACAGCTTCGGGAGGACGCAGATTCTCTGTTTCGCGCGCAGCGCTGCCCGCGAACGCGGCTGCCATTTCTGAGAATTCTTCGCTGCGACGGTGTCGTCTAGGCAGGGCAATGCTAGTGCGGCCACTTTCTGTTTCGCCCTGGCTGCGCTCAACGACTAGGCTGCTCGGGGACGGGGTTAGGCGGCTGCGGCGTCGCTCTGGGACGCTGAGGAGGGGATGTGCGTCGCGTGAGTGGCCGAAGCCGAGTGGGAGGCTATCGTCTGATTGGTGGGGACGGACGGTTATTGGGGTTATTCGTGGGACGTGGTTGACTGGGTTTGCGAGTCGGACTGCTGGTGGGCGGAGAAGCGACGGCGGGCCTGAGATCGGAACGCACTGTCGCCGCTGGGCGCGAACGAATGACGGAATTGACTCCACGGGGGCGCGATTGGCTGGAGGCCGGGATAGGAATTGTTGGCCGCGTGGATAACAGTATGCTTCTTCCTCCCTCGATTGAGGTCTGGGGGCTTTTAGGGACGCCGTTTTGAGGGGAGAAAGGAGAGGGGGAGAACTGGAGCGGGAGATGGAGATCGGCTAAGGAAAAAGTGCCCTATGTGGAGGACATGCAAAAAATGAGCGTGAGAATAAGGTTAAAAAAGAATTAGGGAAAATAAAGGAGGTTTGAATTTGTCGGAGATGAAATTCGAGGCGAAATCCTTATAAATCCTTATAGAAGAAACCTGCTTGGCGTATATAATCTCGATTTTGGCTAAATATATGACAGAAATTGGAAATTGGACATGAAAAAGGATGCTATATCTTATATCGAAGTGACAGAGACTCGAAAGGGATACACATCCAATAATTTAATAAAATTTATGCGAGTCGTTTGCCCCGGTTTCACTGTGATTAATCGATCGTCCCTTGTTTCATCTCGGCCTTTATTGCGTATAGTATGCACACCCTAGCAAACGCTAATCGAGGTACTATTGCACTATTAGCAATGACGAAATGCATTTCAATTCAGGCTAAGTCTCGACAGTGCTCGGTAAGGCCGTATTACTTGCTGCATAGAGCTTGGGTAGGCACGAATTGGGCAAAAATATACATTATAAAATAGGTTTTATAGACATCGATGCAATAAATACTTCATAAAGTCGTGGGAAAGACACATTCGCCATGGCGTGTAATAACAACACCTAGTTATAAAAAATCAAAATCAAATCAAAGGGTATCGAGTAAAATGAATGAGCCATGACTGGGCACTACAGCTTTCGATTCGCAGAAGCCTGCATACGCCGCATTGCCTGACGGTGTAGATCTGTCATGTTGCCACGCTGCATGCCGTCTGCAATGGCATCACCCAGCTGAACAGACGAGGCTTCGCGCATCTGCTGTACAGAGTTCCATGTAGTGCGCCGATCAATGGGGCTGACCGGGCTGAGGGGCCGGGACTGGAGGGCCAAAGGATCTTGCTTTTGGGTGATTTCCTCACGGACTGATTGTCGCCACGCTGCCATTCTCGAAGCAGACCGGTTCAGTTCGCCGGCGGGAGCTTGCGGAGGATACACAGGGGACTGGGAAGCCTCGAGGTTGTCAAGGTTTAATGCAGATGGGGACTGAACTGTCTGGCGCTGTAGTAGTGCGCGCCGCTTGGAAAGTGGGATGTCGTCCTCACTGGGCTGCGCTTGCTCACGCTCTATGTCCCTTTCTTCGGGGATGGAGAGCGGTGGTGAAATTGGGGAAACGAGGGGAGCCATGTCAGGTAGGGACTGGCGGGATACGTTGCGTGCAGCCCAGGGATCGAAGCGGTTGGATGTTGAGGACATGCGGTTTCGGACCATGTTCTCGCGGACTGCGAGGAGGGGAGGTGGTCCGTTCCAGCGTGATGATGGCTCTGTTTCTTTGGGCTCGTTGGGAGTAGTGATTGTCAACAGGGGAGTCGATGTGCTGCGCATCGCCGTCAAACCCGATTCCTGAGTTGGGAAAGGACCGGAAGCTGATCGTAGCATGTTGACTGAAGCTGTCGAGTCGTTCTGGGTTAAAGTTGGATTTGCTTTGGTGAGTCCTTGCGCGCCGGTCCGTGTCTTGGATCGGGGAATATCCGGCGAGGGTACAGATGAGATGTAGGCAGCTTGTTGATTGTCCATATCATCAAATTCAGGCCTGTTCACGATTGGTGGTGGTTGTGCAGTAAGAGGCGTCTGGAGAAGACCGCCTACATCAACAAATGCTGCAGTCTCGTGAACTTCCTCTGACTCTTCTACCTCAGGTTCAGGTTCAAACACAATTGGCTCCATCTCAGGGGTGTCGGCGTCTGCGAGGTGCTTTGCCCATTCGTTCGTGCGGTACGAATGGATCACTCGTGATGTTTGCTCGGGGATGCATTTGACGGTTGATGCATTCAGTTTCTTGAGCACTTTGATCTTTGGCTCAATCCTGGACTCGGGCAAAGATACAACCTTCGGCTCACGAATAGATTCGGCTTTGATGGTTTTAGCAGTAGGAGGTCGATCTTCATTGGCCTCCTTCACTGTTTCCACTTCTGCTTCATCCAGAGGTGACGGCTCCAATGTAGCTTTGGGCTTGACTTCCTTGGTCTTCCTTGAAGCATCTGGAATGTCTGCTTGAACATCTGTTGCGGGGGTCTCCGGCGATTGGGGCTTTTCTGACACTTCGGAAATGCCAGAACTATCCAAAGGACTGTCGGCAACAACAGTGCTCTCGACGGGAGACACCTGCTGAACAGGCTGGCTGACAGTGGTTTCTTCGGTGATCACTTTCTCGGCGTCTTTTTGGCTTGTGGCAGTATCGACACGGAGTCCAGCATCTTGGATAGCTTGTGAACCGACATTTGACTTGATCTCCGCATCTGCCGAGTCCTTCTCTGGGGCTAGCTCGGGGCTAATTTCATTCTGCGTTTTCTCAACACGATCCTGAACATCCGCATCCGAGATAACACTCGGACAGCCGACGCTCATCTCATGGAGATCATCCACAACTCCCCGTACAGAAGAACTGGCATCATCATGAGCCACCAGATTCTCCTGAGACTGTGAAGCATTCATCACACCATTGCTGTTCCGCCAAGAGAGCCGGTTCAACATTTCTCTGCCAGAGAACCGTTTCGAGCGCAGCGTACCAACCTCCGAGCCGATGTCAGCGCCGTTCTCAGAGGCGTCATCATTGCCCTCGCCAAGGACATGAGTAATAACAGGGGTAGTAGGTCTCGGCGTCTTTCCTTCAGATTGACCCTCCTTCTCGGCCCCCTTTTCCTGCTCTGCATCCTGTGACTGACCCTGCTGGGATGAATCCTCCTCTGGCACCGCCTCAAGTTCGCGAGCATCTTTTTCACCCTGGCGGTTCTTCTCGCCGTCAGCGGCACTACCAGAAGCATCCGGGCTCGGCATTTCCTTGAGCTCAATCTCACCCTCCTTGTCGTTGTCGGAGGACTCGAATCCATCAGAGCCGCGTCGCGAGTCACCCACAGCAGTCTCTGAAACCGAGGCCGTTTTGTCATCCGCAGCCTTTCCATTTCCGTAAATGAGTTCCCATTCAGCGCGCTCTTGGATATTCTTTTCCTCGAGGCGGCGACCGGCTTCGGCATCTTCTTCTTCGATCTTTCGGGTGTGTTCCCGGCGGGAATCTTCTTCCTTGGCTCTGCGCTCCTTGATGAGATTCCAAAGTCTGACCTGGGAGATGACACCCAGAACAGCAATGATGATAGTCGCGGCGAGCTCAACACGAATACCACGTGTCACGGGGTAGGTGTCCGTTCTGAGAGGGAAGACGTTTTGGTTCAATCCTGGATCGGTCAGTAACTAGGAACAGTTTGAAACCGAATTGTTAGACTTACCCCAGATATATAACCAGAATTCTTTCAGCCCAGCTCTGCTGTAGCAGTCGATTCCAAGGACCAAGGCAGTTGCACCAGCGAACGACGTGCATCCAATCAGCCCGTATGACCGTGTATAGTGGCTGAATGACAGAGAGTAGAATCCCGCAGTAAAGGCAATGATCATGCCGGCCTTGGGGCCACCTTCCGTGAGAAGACCGCCGGATTTCAAGGCAAGGAACCACATGCTCAGACAGAAACCGCCCAGAAGACAGCCGAGTCCCTCGCAGATTTCCCTGAACACGAGCGACAAGCCACCGAACACAGCACCGGTGAAGAAGACGGCGACGAGATAGCCGCCCTGCACGGCATTGCTGACCGGTGGGCTCATCACATAGATAATGAGGACCTGTATGGAGATTGTTTAGTTTTGTTCTTTACTATTCTCCAACTAAAGAACTTACGGTAACTCCCAATGCGCTAAGGAACCCGGTTGAAAGGAAGATTTGGACCCTTTTCTTTGTTAGCAAATGTTATTGCCATCAAAGAATCAAAAGTTGCATACCATTGTTTGCGGACACCAATGAAAGTCAGAACAGCCCCGAGAGCTATTAGTATAAATCCCCCAACACCCCATGCCGGTGTGATTCTCGGTTTGATAGGCAGACCACCGGAGTAGGTTGGTCTAGTGGAGTCTGCTGCTTGCTGCTGAGAAGATGCAGTTGTTCCATCGAGCGAGGGCACAGTTGAGGTAGCAGAATCGGCAGATGTAGTTGTCGTGGCATTAGTTGTTGTATGCGTTGTAGCAGCGGTCGAGCCAGTAGTTGAGGTAGTAGCACCGGTCGTTGTAGTTTCGGCAGCCGTTGACGCACCGGTTACTGTTTTTGAAGCATCTGTTTGAGTTGCCGTCGTAGCCTTGCTGGCAGCATTCTCTGTCGTTGTAGGATCCATTTCCTTTTCCTGTCTAGCCTCAAGGTTGGCGACTTCAACATTGCGTCCTCCGGGGCCCGAAGCCGGCGCTGCTAATGTCCCTAGTAAGAATAGGGACACTATTAAGGTGAATAGTAAAGACCACCGCATCTTGAATTGATTTCTGAAGCGAAATGCAATTGATTCTCCGTAGAGAAACGTCCTTGGTTATTGTAAGACCAGCACGCCTTTCACATATCCCGTGATGTTGGTCACCCGGTTCATGCGCGAAATCAATATAGATTTCGGGGGAGGTACACGAATATTAATAATTAACAATAAAAAAAAGATTAATTGACGTGGCGTCGGGGACGCATTATAGGGTAAGAAAGAAGGAAAAAAAAGGCCAGCAAACGGAGACCAGCCCTAAGCCTCCCTACATATAAACGAAAACACGTAAAAGATAAGTGGGAACAGGACTGATTTCACATGAAATTTGAGTTTTATTACAGAAAAGGAACCCAGCATGAACCCTACAAGGAATCTAAGAGGACAATAATATTACCCACGCGATTGTACCTGAGCTATCTACTTTTGTCTCCACCGATCGAGGAAATTGCCGATCTAGCAAGGATCAACTTGCATCAACTTGGACTAGCACCATTGGCACGGACCAAAGAGAGAGAGAGAAGATCCTCGAGTCTCCATATGGTGGCTTAATTGTCTTTTTAGTCTGGTGAATCTTGCCATTCAACCATGAAACGACGTGTTTTGCGGACCCTTTGGGACTATTGTTTTTTTTTTTTTTTTTTTTAAGAGATTGTTTAAGCTGTTGAACAACGCACTAGATCTGCATATATAATGCGAGTGAGCTGTCATATCGTCCCTCGCTTTTACAACATAGGCATTGGTACACCGTCATTTATATTCAAGTCCAGTCCACAGTCCGCGGTGGAACCAAAAAAAAAAATAGCAGACAACTCTCAGTTCCCACGGGTGGCGCCGCGCTTTGGCTATCATAGGCGATATATCGATTCAGCATATTTGACGAATATTTGACCTCGACCAATTTGACTTTGACCTTTGACTTGACCGATCTCGCCACTGTCCTGCAGATACCTGCAGGTCCAGGCCGTGTTAGCCATTGTTGACGCCTCGCAAACGCCCCCCTCTGCACCGACGTGGTTGGGCCGCTAATTGACAATGTAAGGAGTGCGTCTGAGACAACAGCTATCTTAATTTATCCTCGGTCTGGTTCAATCAATCAGCGGTATTGCAGCATCTCCGCTGGGATCTGCCCCCTGGCCGATCTGCGTATCGGCTACCATTTCCAGTTTGGTGCACCTTGTACAATTGTACAAGTGTGCAATTGTACAGTTTTCGCGGGACAGTCGGATGCGATGGATTTGTGACGTGACTACGCTAAAAAATACCCTGGCGTGTTCGTGTTGGCACTCACATGGTGTATGAAAGATTTCAAAATAATAGAGTTAGGCTCGTCGTTGATTTGCATTTCTTCGTTTTTTCTTCGTTGCTTTTTCTTTTTGACTCGGGACTTGAGACGTTAGATTTATAATTTTGAAGCTCATAGCTGTCTGCACCCGTAGATAGAATCTGCATAAGGGGGGATTCCGGGGTAGAGCTATAGCTCTCTAACATGGGCTTATGAGCTTCGCCAAAATGACTACTCCGTACGGAGTATCCAATTTCATTTCCAAAGACATTTCAATTGCAACCAAAATTCCTGACTCAACCCGTAATTAATAAATAATAACGATAGTAACCTTTGGAATAGCCAGCCTAACTAGTGTTTTATGCCACCATATCCCATCCGAAAGCGGTAGCCCCCTGATCACGTGTCATGATCGACACGCATCAACAATCGAGCCAAAACAATATCCCAATTACTGCATCCTTACTATAATCCATAATTCACACATCCTCCATCCAACCATGTCCGCCTTCCTCTCCTCTATGCGCCCAGCCATGCGCATGGTTAGCGCCCCCCAGACCGCCCGCGCTTTCAGCTCCTCGCCTGCCCACTCCGTCGCCCGCCTGATCCTCACCGGCCGCCTCGGCGCAGAGCCCGAGCTCCATGCCACCTCCTCCGGCCAGGAGATCGTCAAGTACAACATCGCCACCTCCTATGGCAAAGGCGATAACCGCCAGACGAGCTGGTGGCGCATCACAAACTTCGTCCCCGAGGGCTCCCAGCGCGATTTCATCCTTGGCTTGCAGAAGGGGTAAGTGGCTGCTCTTGATACTTTGCTGGATTGTGCAGGACACAACACTGCGTGTTTGGATTGCGTCTTGTCTGTTGGGTGTTTTGTTGCTATCTATACCTTGCCGTTTTAGTCCGGCAGGTCCGCGCGCGGTCTATGCAGAGCGAGAGCGAGAGCTTGCGCCTGAGAGCTGCATGGGGATCGTGCGGGCCTGTTTGGACATATGATATGCGGATTTGGCGGTCAAGCAACGCATCTTCGGACAAGACATTATTCCTTCATGTCATATCTGTCGCTGAGCAGTAGGGATTGAGTTATGGGATTGCCATGCTCAATTGACTCTGTCCACTTGCACCAATGCAGCAATTAAGCTTTAGCTTGATGCAGATGAGCTAACATCCTCCCACAGAACTCTCGTATATGTCGAAGGTGAGGCCAAAATGGCCACCTGGGAAGATTCCGAGGGCCAGAACCGGTCCGCTCTGAACATTGTGCAGCGTATGTCGATTCCCTGTTTTCTTAATTTGCTCCCATTCTCCGAGAACAAGAGAAACAAAGCAAGGTTCAAACTAACACCCTTCTAGGCACTCTTGAGGTCCTTCAGCGGCCCCATAACAGTGACCAGTCTGACGAGTCTCACTAAATGACTTAATCAGCACTCTGTATCAATCTTAATTTGTTGCTAGTATCATTTTGGGGCTGGTGGGGTTGATTGAATCCTTTGCGGTGTGATTATATTGTACGATTATACCCTGAATACACTTCGTTTTGTAGTGGATGGATTTGATATTGGTAGCGTGTGGTGTAGTACATACCTAGGTAGGCTAAATGTCAATTCTTTCAAAATATTGGCTCTTCTATGACTTATTATCATTACGGCGCGAAAGTTTACAGAATCAGAGGACCCGTGGAATTGAGGCCGAGAATGACCACTTTTGAGGCTAGAAAAGGCCGGCTTCCGCTTACTCCAGGGCTTCCCTGTAACAATTTTAGTCATCTGAAGTATCATGCTAAAAAGCCCACCACATCCGCCGTTGTCTTCCACCTGGGCAGAATGAATATACCTCACTTGCCTCTCCACTTCCTCCTCCTGCGCCGTGCCACGAGCGCCAAAAAATTCCCTTTGTTGTCTCGCTGTCCCCGGGAGCGAGTGTCCCGCGTCTTCCACCTATGCTAGGTCTAGGTGATGAGGATGTGACCGGGGCCGTATTTAAGATGTATCTTAATGTGGCTGTGGAGACTATCTTACGAGAGTTTTACCCAATTGTCACGTTGCAGATAATAGATCTGCATACACTGGCGGCGAAGTTTCGTCATGAGAATGATATCTGGTGTTCGAGTAATTGGTGGGAGGTGCATCATTGCGAGTGGTGAGGAATCGTAAGTTATGATTTGAGCAGGTTGAGTCGATGTCAGGATTGATCTCGAGAAGATCAAGGGAGATGGTCTGATTAAGCGAGATCGGTTGGCAATTATCTTCCTGTTGGAGTATTCGTAGACTTGAGGGTGGAGGATACTAATCAGTACGTACAGCTTGGATGATCTGGTACTACGGCTTCGGCATCTCTTACCTTCCTGCATGGCAAAATTGGATAAGATTGTTGTCTTGGTCTTCTATGTTGAAATATACCGAACAGTTAGCGTCCTCCATGTTTCATGTGGGAGTTAATCACGATATATATAAGAGTTCTCCATTAGTCCTACACATGTATGATAGCAAACATTGAATGTCTACGAAGAAACAGATTCAAACAATTTCATTTTTCATTTTGCACGAGAGCCACCTGACCCAGCGTATTATGTGTTATGATACTTAAGTATTACTACTATCCCATTACCCCAGACCAATGCAAAGGCAAGATTCGGAAACGGTAACAGGCCACTGCAATCCCAGATACAACCCCGAAGAAAGACCAAGCCCACTAGACCTGAACCCTAACCTCGCTCTGCTGGCTAATAACCTGCCGCACATGAATAAAATCCTTACTAAGATCCGGCGATGTAGGTCCACTGGACAGGTCCCGACTATCACGGTGACTAGCCCAAGCATTCGTGCAGACAGTCTGCGAGGTACCGCCGGGGAGGTCACTCATCAGAGTCCCATCAATATCCTGACGAGTCTGACGTCTGTTAAACAGCGACCAGGGCAAGTTACTCCAGCGCGACTTCTTAGTCGACCTGCCGTCACTATGACGGGACAAGCGCGAAGAGATACCCTTTTCAAGATCATTGTATGTGCCATGCGCCGAAACAAAAGTAGCGATGGATTCCTTCTGCCGTGAGAACAGCGATTTGGCACGGGAGCCGATGCTGCCGACGAGGGTAGTTGCTGTTGAGGCGTGCCCGGGGGAAGGGGCAGCGCTGTGTGTATCTGTTGGGGGCTCGATACCCGGGAAGCAGTAGCCCAGTCCGAGGTACCAGAAGACTGTGCGGTACATGCGTGTTGCGTCGCGACCGAAGCCGAAGAAGATGAAGATCATGAAGCCTGATGCGACGGGGGTCCAGCGGTCGAAGAAGACGGTGCCGTCTATGGGGAATTTCTCGATGGTGTTCCATTGTCCGTTGTGGATTCTGCTCCAGGAGTAGCTGTGCCAGGGGAGAGAGAGGACTATGTCGGTGTAGATGACGTAGCCTTGTAGTGGGAGGATGCATATGAGCATTGATAGGGCGAGGAAGAAGAGGCGGAGGAAGCGGGATTTGCTGAGATTGCTGCTGGAGGCGCGGATGATGTTTGCAAAGTCACTGCGGTACTTGTGTACGCGGATGAGGACCAGGACTGTGATGTTTAGTTAATCGGGGGTTCTGTTTTGTATGAGGTAAAGGAGTATACTTACAGCAATAGTATGCTGCAATGAGGCAGATAATCGGTGGCCAGATCCATGCAAAGACGAGGCTGACCCAGCTCTCGTCAAAGTTGTTCACACAGCCTGAGATGGCAAATAGCAAGTATCGACTCTTCTGCCAGATGATATGTGTAATCATTGCGATGATTGGAACAGCCACGCAGAACAGTATCTCCATGAACTGATTGCGCCAGCGTTGACCTTTGCTCGGGACTAATGTGGCCCGGTCTGTATCCAGTACAATTGCAAGACTTCGAAAGATGCATGCCAGGCTTCCTGGAATGCCCAGATAGCCGGCAGCCATAAACTTGACCTCGATATCACAGAGACCGGACCCGTCCCACCATGACGCCATGTCGTCCGTCGGCCATATGAGAGCATTGATGATGTTGAACAAGTTGAGGAGGATTGACCAGAATATCAGACTGGTAGCAGGAAAATTGCGGTTCTTTCCATGCAGAATTAACGGTGGGATAGCGAGAGCAATGGAGAAAGAAGATAGAATTGGCAGAGCCACAGCCTGCGGGTGTCTTTGGTGAATATCCATGACAGCAGTGGATGTAAAACAGATATCAAAAAGGATATGTCCGTAGCCTGAGCCTCGAGTGCTTCTCCAAACTGTTCAAGAAAGTAAAGAGATAGGATGAAAGAAAGAAGAATGGGATGGAACCATCCTCTCTCGATGAAGGATGTATATCCCGCCGGGGGAAGTAATTGAGCAGCGATGTCTTATTGAGATCCGAATAGCGAGAATCAGGAGGTTGATTCACAGCTCAAGACATCGTGCCTTGAGCGAAGTAGTGTACTATTCACGAAGAATGTATGGGCTGCAGAGACAAAACCCGCGGCCGGGGGCACCAGGCCTTGACATGTTTTGCGACAGGCAGAGAAACCTACCCATTGGATTAGCATTGCATTGGACTAAAGAACTTTCAATAAAGAGATGAAAGAAGATGAAAGAAGCTGAATAAAGAAACACGAAGCACATAGGCTGTGGTGTTGTGGTTGAGCGAATAGTGTGAGGCAACACCAGTCCAGATTTGGGTGTCAATAGGCCCGAAGAGGCGGGGACTTTATTCATTTTGATCCGCCTGATATTTTTGTCGTCGATCTGGGAGATGAATGATTCTTTATTGATCGAGATTGTCTAGTCTATTCAGATTGACCAAATTGACCAGATTGACCAGATTCCAGAGGTGAGAGAGTGAGTTGATGCATCTAGAGAGAATGACCTCGACGGCAAACTATAAAAATGACAGACACTGCAACGATCTCTCTCTCTCCCCCCCTCCTCTGTCCCCCGACATATATATATCTTTAATCTTATATTATTATTCAAATTTACCTTCAGAACTCTAATAACTCTTTATTTAACTATAACTTACTGTATAGGAAATGTTGTTAGTGCTCCTCTCTTCCCACCGTTTTTTTTTTTAAAAAAAAATTATGTCTCGTTTTCTTCCTTGCGTAGCCGCCTCAAGAAGAAGCATAGAATTTATGCACAGAGTCTATCCTAGAGAGGGCTTTCCAGCACAAACCTACTTCTGCTTCTTCAACCTACAAGGACCCTATCTAGGGGTCTATAGCGAATTATTAGGGTCAAGCCATCCTATACCGCGTGGACTTCCTACTTCTATATCATATCCTCAAAGGAGAGCCTTTGATAAAGAGATCACTTGGGCAGTCTCGATAACGTTATTAATAATCCAAACACGTTGAAGCCTACCTAGGTATGTACCTTTGACGGATCATTTAATCAGCAATTAAGTACTTGGTCGTTGATCTTAGACTATTAGCACACTGAGCGATATGTGTTATCCAAAATACTATCCATGGATGAAGTAGCTTTGACCAATTGCGCTTCTTAAAATACCAGGGTGCTGATATATAGTGATTCTGATTACGAGTCGGGCTGCGAATATGACATGTGTAGTTCTTTAGTTTGGTCTGCTCTTCGAGAGTCTATTTATGTGGATGTTGGCATAGTCGCCATCCTATACGGTAAACATGGTATTGGTAGTCTTTTTTATAGATATTTCCCCTTCTGAAAAGAAATGGACTTATGGTAAAGTGTACCTAGGTATAATATCTTGGTACTAACTAGTATGTGGACAATTACCACATGCAGTTTAGGCCGATCTGGGGATCTGCGAACCGGTTTGGTCTCATTCCAAGGTTGCATCATCCTCGGCAATCTACCCCATACTCTCTGCACGGAGTACGGAGAGACACACATTCCTTTTCCAATCTTCAGAAACAATATGGCTGATTCACCTACTCAGCGCCCTTTCAACACTCGTCGCGCCCGTACCTTCGAGGAGAGTCAACGACGGAACTCGACCCTCTCGGACTCGCTCTCCGAGGCCCGCAACTCCATCCGCTCATCGACCGACGACTTATTTCTACCGCGTGTAGCAGAAGGCCATGCCGCACTCTCAACTGAAGAATCGAATTGGCATTCTGCACCCCTTGGGCTGGCCCTGCTGCCTGCAATTGCCGGCATTTTCTTCCATGAAGGTAGTTCCTTCGTCACCGACGTCACATTACTAGTCTTGGCCGCTATATTTCTCAACTGGTCTGTCCGATTGCCTTGGTATATATCCCCTATGGTCCCTTTATAATCTCGCCAAACAAAAGTACTAATACTAACTATATAACAGGGACTGGTACCGCTCGGCCCAAGCCATCCGACGCGAAGAAAGTGGATTCCCCGCGCCCGGCGATCCCCCATTCGAGCTTGACGACCAAGAACCCCAACACAAAGAAGCCGCAACAGCCATCTCCGAGCTCCAAATCCACGAACTCGCCGCTCTAGCCGCTTGCTTCATATTCCCTATAATCGGCACCTGTCTCCTGCACACCATCCGCTCAAGCCTCTCCCGACCATCCGAGGGCCTAGTATCAAACTACAACCTAACAATCTTCCTCCTAGCCTCTGAAGTCCGCCCAGTCGCCCACATCCTAAGGCTAATCCAAAAACGAACCCTACACCTCCAACGCATCGTATTATCCTCAACAGACCCAATCATAACCCCAACAACCCTGCAAGACCTAACAAAGCGCCTCGAAGAACTCGAAGCACACGTCGCAGAGACAGCTACCGCCCGTCTCGCAACCCAACCAGACAAAGACACCTACCCCCTCTCCCCAAAAGAACAAGAATGCCAGGCATCCCCATCCCTCGTCGCCAGCGCAGCCCTCGAAACTCGAAAAGCTATCCAGCCCGATATCGAAGCCCTGAATCGCGCCGTCAGGCGCTACGAGAAACGTTCTGCCCTTTTCTCCCTGCAGACTGATCAGCGCTTCGTGCGTCTCGAGACACAGGCCGCCGACGCGATTGCGCTGGCGGCTGCTGCGAAGCGGTCGGCCGAGTCAAGGCGTCCGAATTATGCGCTTGTCCTGCTGGACTGGGCTTGCGCGTGCATAGTTGTCCCTGCTCAGATTGCGCTGTCGCTTGTTAGTTTGCCTGGGCGCGCGCTCTCGGGGTGCTGGGATGCGGCGAGGCGTATGCTGATTGAGCGGAAAGTTGGACCGCAGCAGAGATCGAAGCCTAGGTCTTCGTCGAAGGGGAAGGCTGGCGCTGGCGCTGGCGCTGGAGCTGGAGCTGTGGGGGTGGGTGCGTCGGGTGCGTATCGGCAGGGTGGTGGGCTGGCGTCGCAGCGGCGGCCTGGGGTGAGGAATGGGGATGGGGGGTGATGCATGAAGTATTTTCTATTTTTAACTGGATATATTCAGTGCGCAATGGGCATTGGGTAATGGCCGCAGGATCGGTCCACGGGTATATTGGCGTTCATGTATGGGCTTAATCACTTCCGGGGCATGATCTATCATATACTATAGGATGAGAATATCGACTTTAGCTCAAATACGACGTTTCTCAGCCTGTATCATTAATCTTTAATAGCCGAGGAAAACGTGAAGACGTGGCATTTGTACAGCATTATACATACACATCGAGACAACGTGATGCAATCGGACAACTTCAAAAGTCAAGTCTATAAGAGTCAAAACATGGCCGGGTTTCTGATACATTTCAGAATAACCCGTAGGCGGACCGCGAGACAAGCGGGCCACCCCGGAAAACATCTCGACTGTATCAGAAAAATCAAGACCGACCCCCAGATGGACCTCGATCATCCACCGCAACCATCTTTAAGAATGGTTCAATGATTGATCGCCTCCGCTCTTCAGATATACGACGCTCTTTCTCCTTAAACGGCAGCGGAGCAGAGGCAGAAACAAGCACGAGTGCAAAGATAGATGCTAGAGCAGTCTCGACTGCTTGTCGGCGTGCTATCGAATGGTTCTGGCTGGTAGAGTCAGGGCTGGTGCCAGCGGATGTGCTTGTGGAACGGTTCTTGCGGCGGAAACTGCCGCTGGTTATGAAGGCAGTAGCGGAAGCTGGAGCAGGGGAATGAGCTTGATCCTGGCTTGCAGTTCCAGCCTGCTTATCTATCGGCTCTTTGGCGACAACGTGCTTTCCTTGTTTAGATAATGGGACAAGCGGTGTACCAGCCGACACCGGGGCCACTTCGTTGGCGATGCGGGCGAGCATAAAAGTGACAAACGTGAATGATACGCTGTGTGCTGGTGAGTAGGCCAGGTGCTCAAGCACCCAGGCCTGGGTTTCTTCCGAGTTTCGAGGAGGGGATTTGCTTTTCTCGCGCACGGCTATCTGCTGCTCCATGTCTTGCCATACTTTCGTGGTGACGATGCCGTCTTGGAGCGCGTTGAGGAAAGTGAGGAGGGTTTCAGATAGGATCTCCAACCGATGGAGAGAGGATAACTCAGGGGCAAATATTGAGGTGAGGGACTTGTTGGTGTCAAGGGCTTCACGCACTGAAGTTTGCAGCGCAGCACGCTCCTGCGGGTCCTTTAGAGTCCATGTATCAGGTTGAAAGGGCCATGCTCCCCCAGAGAGATCCTTTGTCCATGGTGCTTTATGCTCCTCCGATTCAGCATTTGTCATGCTCCACTCTGCGACAGCGCGCTCTGTCAGCTCGGAGATCGCGTCAGTCAGTCGGAAAAGCTCGCGGGGTGCCGACAAGCGGCCTTCCGTCGAACTATCTGTGCTGGATGGATGAGGGGTGTCTGAATCGGCCAAACTTCGAGCACCCGCTTCTGGCATGCGAGTCAACTCGTCGACACTGCAACCGAAGCAAGTGGGTAGCCAACGGCCGTGAACAGAGATAAAGTGGTCGCGGCCGCCATCAACATGAAGGACTAGGATGTCTTCTAGTTTCACCTTTCCAATATTAAGCAACCGGACGTGTTCAATACTGCGAACGTGAGCCGTAATATCGATGTTTGCTACTTCCCCAGGGAGCAGAGTATGTTTCTCAGACGAAGAAGTCATCGCTTGGCCAGCGTCATGGGTGATATCTGCAGACTTGCAGACGTGCAGAACGAGCCACGAGGGTGTGTGTGTAATGGCCTCGTCGTCAACTTTATGCCGCTCCGCAAATGAAAAGGTGGCTGCGGTGCCGCTGGTGTTGGCAACGGTTAGGGACCGATGAGCTGGGACATCGAAGGCAATATCGCCGAAATCGACGGTGTCAGGATCTTTCTCTTCGTGCTTTTGGTCACCATGCTTATCCACCACAATCGTAATATCCGGCCGAGCTTCGTTCTCGGCCTTGTCCAATTCACGGGCCACTTCTTGATGAACCTTTGTTTTGAGTTCGCGATTGACTGCATCAAAACTCAAGGTAAATACAGCATCCAGGGGCTTGTGGTCCGATGAAAGAATGCCTTGGTGTGACACATAATGGTCCAAGCGGATTGGATCATTGGAAGAGTCGAGTGATGCAACTGTCCTTGCGTCATCATCATCAGCGGCTTGATCCTCGTCTGATATGTACTCCTCGCTGTTTGCACCGTCTGCATCAGGGTCATATTCAAACAAGATGTTATCATCGGCAACAGCCTTGTCCAGTCCGCTTGCCTTCATCTCCTCGTCCCTCTTTCGGGCCTCCTCCGCTTCTTGGTCGAGTTTCTCATGTCTCAGCTTATCCTGGTGACTGCGAAACAGAATCCGATCACACCAGCTAGGACCCCGTTGCTTCTCGCTCGAATCAAACATGGCCACACTCCCAACATCATATTTGTACGTCGGCAAGAAAGTGATGTTACCTTCCCGCCAACCCTTGTGGAAAGCTGCTCCTTTTCTCTGTTGAAGTCCGAGTTGATCGTGCGGGAGGAGCGAAGAAATTGTAGTTTGAAGAGACGCAGGGTCATTATCAGGATCGATCTCTTCGTCAGTGACAGGGTCGGTGAGTGTCTCCGTCTCTGTCTCCTCTTCTTCTACCCCCGAAGAAGAGGGCGACTCATGATCAGAATCGGCCGTAGACTCCTCAGAATGGCTTGACGACTGCTTTGCTTGGCGCGCTTTGTCGTACTCATTGGCGGTATGCCGAGAGAGGACTTGGCGCACATCGTCACCAGGGATATCATCGAGGCGGTAGTTGAGGTCACCGAACCAGAAAGTGAAATCTTCATCTCCTATCGCTTCGCCCGATTCACCCGATTCGTCACCCTCGGACCAAACTGCGTCAAATCTAGCACGCTGGACAATCTGAGAAGAGTCCCAGTTGCGTCGCTCCAAGCTGCCTTTGTCGGACCCTGCTGCGAGATGACAGTTGATAAAGACCAATCGGGTCGTTTCTCCCAGGACAAGGCGCGTTGTCACGGCGCCCTTGTTTCCCATGTACCCCATCAGCCCCGTACCGACAGATGTACTACAGACAGAAGAAATACTGTCACCAATGGCGGGCGACGCATATATCACAAGCAACAGGCCGACCAGCTGGACTTCAGAGACCAGCTTATATCCTCCGGGTAGCGCCTTTTGGATTGATTCCTTCCACCGCTTGGACGGTGCCAGGTCGACATATGGCCGGAGCGCTTCCGTTGGGGAAGAGATATCAACCACTTCTTGCACACCTAAGACATAGAGGTCTATCTCTTCGGGGCTGTATCGAAAGGTTCCTTTTTTGTCGCCGTCTGATTTCTGCTGGTCATGCTTGCTGGGCGATTCGGATTCTGGCTCCCGTGCGTAGTTTATCCCAGAGAACTTCGGGCACACCCCGTCTCCTTGAACAAACCACCTCCCAATGTCTTTCTCGGTGCCGGAGATGCCGGCTACATTCCACGTCCCGACCTTGACTCGGATAGATCGCCGGCGCGTGTACTCGGCTTTTCTTGCTCTGATCGCACGCGAAAGTGACAAAACGTCGAGTCCTGGGTTCTTAATCTCTTCCGTGTATTCTGACTCGTGGCCCTCGTGCCCTGACCCGGACGACGATGGCGATTTAGTGCTCATGGTGTATGAGTATATGATGAAATCAGCAAAAAAGAAAGCTTCTTCGCCTCACTGGTTATGGTTCGAGGTTCAGTGGAGCAGTATGTAGCGTGGTGTATGTATGACTGTGTGCGCTTGCGCGGTTCTTAATTCCGGTAAGGGGAAATAGGCTGTGAGGTTTGTCGCAATAGAAGAACGAGGCGATAGTGAATACCATAAGATAAATAGAAAGAATTGAGAGAATCAGTTGTATAATGCGACAATGGCTCAGTCATTTCATCACAGAGGTCATCCCACCAAGGTTTAGAAGGGTCGTATCGTCATCACGTAGAATATAGGGTACAGGGAATACTTTTGAGACCAATCACGAAAGGAATCAAATATATGCCAGTATCCAAATATCCTACATGAGGTTCAAAAGAGAAGAGGTTTGGGAGTAGAAAGTAGAAAGTAGAGAGAATCTAGAGAGAATCCGGATAAGCGCGAAGGCGGAGCTGCAATGACGATATGCCCCAGCTCCTTCCCATCTTTCACACTTCCAAGGGTTCCCACAGAAAAGATGACTTCACGCAAACCTCGGAGACAGAATAATCACAATCCTATTAACCTCACCGATTATGAATCTGACGCCCCATACTATTCCGACATGCAGCAACAAGCTGCACCCCCGCTCCACTCGAACGAAGAGCTCAACCTCTCTGTTATCCGCCGCCACAAGCCCTCAGTGACCTCCATCCTCTCACTTGCCCCCTACGCAGTTGTCTACATCTTCAGCCCCACTACAAAACAATGGGAAAAGAATGGAGTTGAAGGAACACTCTTTGTGTGTCAGGAAACACAAGGTGGCCTAGGCGAAGAGCGCTACACTGCCTTCGTGCTAAACCGCCGCGGGTTGAACAACTTCGACCTTCCTCTCACCGATGGCGAGAATGTCGAAATTACAGATGAATATGTGATTCTCAAAGCCGAAGAAAGTGCCGAAGGCGAAGCGGGACAGAATGGCATCGCCGACCCCTTGCACCCGCAGAATGTGCCCAACAACCAGACCGGCGGCACGAACAACGTGCGCATCTACGGTCTCTGGATCTACTCAGAGCCGCCGCCAAACTCCACCGCGGAGAGTCGCACCATAAATGCCCACATGATTCTCGAGTGTGCCACCCACGCGGGGGAGAGCATGAAGCTAGCTCGCGAGCGCCTCGAGGCTATGCGCCAGACCAGCTTGCACGTTGCGGCAGTGGCGGCTTCCTCACAGGCTCCCCCGATGGAGGAAATACAGGCTGGCGTGCCTATGGGCCGTCAGATTTCGCTGAAGGATCTGTTTGGTCAGCAGCGCGCCCAGGACGACGCTTGGAGTGTGCGCGCACACCATATGGGCCCCGAGCAGCACCCGCAGCCATACCCACAGCAGCCCCCACAGCAGCCTAACTATCAACACATGATGCCTCACCAGATGCCACCCCCTACTCCCCCGCCGCAGCCGCAATCCGATGTGCTAGGAGATCTATTCCGGAGGGCAGGACTAGCTCAACAAGTCAATGGGCAGGGGCAATAGAGGAGTGCTGAATGGTTCCTTCAGGCCCCCTCAATCATTGTACATGGCGTCTAGCTTTATGATTTATTCCGGCATATTTGAATAGCTTTGGGCTTTTTGTCATTCGGATGGGAATGGGCGTGGCGTAGCGTCTCTTGAGATACCCGTTACAATCTGCGCCAATGGCGAAATTCATTGTCTTTGTGTAGTTCCTGTCTATTTCCATGCATTGTAAAAGCCATGGCCTCTTCCTCAGGCCACAATCTGGCCAACCATCCCTGCAACTTTTCGCGCCATCACATCACTGTGTTCTACAAATTGTCAGCGGGGCTACGTATCATAGTCAAAGTCGATAGGGAGACACTTACTCAAACAAAAGGCATGAGGCAAACCCTCTTCACAAACAACCATAGTTGGCCCAGCCTGCCCTCCCTTCCGCCCGCGGACCGCAACAATATCATCCCTCGTCTGATCAGCCACCCAGTGATCATTACGACCAAAGTAGAAAAACAGCTTAGCGATAGGCTCACTTGCCGATGCAGCGCCCCAGACATCATCACTCCACTTGTCCGAAGTGATAGTCCGCATCTCATCAGCAGCCATATGTCTGTCCACCAGGCGAAGAAGTAATTAGCTAAATCCAAACCACAGCCAAAAAAGGAATATCACACATACAAAGCTTGCCGCACTCCACCTCGACTCTTCAAAAAAGCACACGTAGCGTCCAAAGCATGAACGGGGGGATCACCCATGAAGAGCCGGACCACAGATCGAAGAAGCGATGCCGGGAGCAGAAATGTCAGTAGTCGGGCGAAGAAACTAACCACCACAGCAAGACGGGGAATGATTGAGAGTAGAATCTGCACAGCCGAGCTGAGATTAGCAACGAAACCGAAGAAAAACACAAGCGTCTTGCAAGAGGAATATGGTACGTACCGTCAATTTCTGTCCTGAAGGCGACGCTGCGATATCCTTGACAGTCGGGAAGAGCATCGCTCCACCGACGATATCGAAGGCGCTTTCTGGGCTTGCTTCGCGGTGTCGTCTTAGGACTTCCATGGCGATATATGCGCCGACGGAGTGTCCGATCAGGATGACTTTTTGTCTTATTCCGACATCCACAGTATCTTTACCTTTACCTTTGCCGTTACCGTTACCGTTGGGTTCGTCTCCCATCAGGGCAGCGAGCTTTCCCTGAACAAAGCAGATCTGATCTTCCAGGTCGAGATCGATGCCATTGTTCGATGACGGTGATGGTGAGGGCTGGTGTTCGTCGATTTCAAAGCCACTGAGAGAACAGCCGTAGATTTGAAAGGATGGTAGGCTTGGTGAATGTTCCTCGTTCTCGTCTAGATACTTTGAGAGTACAGAGAGGAATGGGTGGTAGTAGCCGATCAGACCCGGGTTGCCGGAGATGAAGAAGATTGTTGTCTTTTGGTCTGATTGAGAACCTGTGGTGGTGAGAAAGGTGTTTGGGGTAATTTCGGGTGCCATTTTTTGTTTGGCTTGTATCATTGGATCTGCTGTAGGGCTCTCTCGTGTAGATTTCATCCAGGGTATAGATGGCTACGAGGTTGTTGGGTGGTCTGGACTTGGTTAGTAGTTGTCCAGGTGGAGATAAGACAATTGAAGGGATACAATTACATGAATTGCACACCTTTTTTATGTATTTTTGGCGTATATGATTTTCTGGGGTGGTTGGATGAATTGCCTGGGATTGATAGGGAGGTGAAGTCGGATTTGGCTGGTGGATCCAAGTACTCTATCTACACCTACAGCTACCCATGCCCCTCGACCACCCAAAAATATGTGAGATGTTTTTAAAGAAAACCAAAAAAAAGAAACAAACAACCACAGAGAGACATATTCCTGGGAGGTATAGTTATTTTGATAGGTGGCAGGGCAGATACTGTGCAGGCCGTACCTACAGCACTAGAGATGATTCCAACAGGCAAAGAATACCATGAAGATAGCAGGATATATTGCAACGACTCCATCCGCGGATGCAGGGCTCCTCCAATGGTCGGTATCTAAGTCCGACCAGGAAAAAAAAAGAATAGACACCGCAAGGCTAGATCCAATGCATTGCCCATACGCCATGCCAAGTACATCAACATTCAACTAGACGCTAGTTCAGGCCAGAGAAGACAACACCTCATAAAACCAGGAGCCAAACAGGTGAGGAGTACCCTGAAAAAAAAGAACTGAACAAGAAGAAAGGGCATCGCCCAAAAAGCAACAATAGATGAAATATGGGAAATCCCGCAACCGAGTCTGGTATCTAGGTCATGGCAAAGGAACTTAATTCAAGAAAAACGCCTGGCTTATGAGGTATATTCATCCACCCTCGTTACCCTGAGCTGTCGTCACGATTCTCCTTCTCGTAACTCTCGCTCGTCACTTCTGTTTCTGAAATGGGCGGTTTGGCCGTTGATCCAATATTGATGGCGATTCTCTTGGGCGCGGCGCTGGTGACCCTGTTTAATACACCCGGTGAGGCATTCTTGTCTGCCACCGAGCCGGCAGACAAGCTCTTTTTCCGATTCATGATAAAGGCGCCAGAATTGCTGCTGGTTGAACTTCTTCGTTTGGGTCCCGCGGTAAGCTTGCTAAGCTCGTCATCGTCTTCTTCCTCGCGGCGACGTTTCTCCGCAAGTCGCTCCGGGGGGTTTGGCTGGGTGGTGATGCAGGAACCTCGGTGGAAGTCTCGGTTGGACTGGCCACTGGCTGTTGATCTGCCCCTTCGGGTTTGGTGTCCATGATGTCCTCGTCGTCGTCATCTGGGTAGTCAACCAATGGTTTGACGACCGCAGAGGCGGATTCGCTTGAAGGTTCATCCGTGGTGGCCCCACGGTCCTGTGTCCACTTTATCTTGTCTGGTCAGTCGTTTGCTCATACTGTCTCAATCAAAAAAGGTACCTACCTCATCTTCGTCGTCGGACGTGTTGAAATAATCCTCTTCCGCGGGGTCCATCTCTCTTGCACCCTGCCAGCGCTGACCATTGAGAGGAATTCTTCGCGGAGCGTTGCTGTCATCCTGACTGAACAATGTCGCGTCGGCCTCGGCTCCATATCCCTGCATCTGGTCATATCGAAGAATCAGGCTCTGGAAGGTATCAACATAAACGATGTTCTCGAGCTTCTCGCGATATTTTTCGACCACATGAAGGATAAAAGGCTTGATGTTTTCCCGCTTGATAAACTCAAAAAGTTCAAGACAGGCCGAGTTGAGCAGGTTATCGCGAGGCATTGTCTCATAGACAATGTCGAGAATCAGCTCAAAAGTGTTATTGTGTGTCATGAGAGCTTGGTAGAAGGTATCTTGGAGGCTGATCAAAGTGCGGAAAAATTTGAGGGCGACTTGTCATCGGTATTAGCTATGGCTTCTGGGTCAAAAGGCTGTAGACTCACCGAGTTTGAGGTGTTTCTGGGGTACCCGCAGAAGCTGTGCAACGCGAGGCGCTAGAGATTCACTCTGGATAGAGTTACGTGTGCGGAAGAGATGTTGGCGGACGAAAAAGGTGAGGATATCAACAAGATGCGAATAGAGGGTGACCTCTTGGAATGTCAAATCATTAACTAGACTCGAAGTTAGCAAAGTCTTGATCAAAAACAAAGGGTCTCGCCACTTACGGGCTGTGCGATTTGCAAGCTGTTTAAGCGGTTGGAAAAGCCGTTTTGAGGACTCATCAAAATGTTGCTGGACAAATGCATCAGAGAGAAGGTTGTTGGTGCGAACTTTGAAGTAATCGGGTCCAGCCCGACCAAGCGGATCCTGCATAGGAATCTGAGGATCAAGGAGAACCTTGATAGCATCGGCAAGTTGGTTTTTGACGCCAAGGTCAGTCTCCACATGAAGAAGGTCGATCAAGGTGTCTGTGAGTGGTGTCTTTTTCTCGTTGACAGCCTTGAGCATATAACCTCTCATCATGACTGGATCGTGATCCAACAGAGCCACTAAGATATCAATACCAGTCGTGCGCATAGCTGGATTCAAGTGCTTGACGGCAAACGCTATCACGGCGAACAAGCCATGACTAATAAAATTGGCGAACAATTGGGCTCGCGACGGTGCCTGCAAATTCTTCGCGATGCCAGCACACTGGTGAAGAAACTGCACGGCGTCGTCCTTGCGTCTCTGGTCCGGATTTCGAGGGTCGAAGACGTGAAATAAGTCTCGCAGGAACGGCCCATTTGCTTGGATATGATTCACAATCTCCATTTGATTGAAGAATATGAGAGAATTGAGCACCGAAAATGTCGGGTCGTCCAAAATCCGAGCCAGTACCACATCTTTGAGATATTGCAGCCTCCATGTACTCCGAATCTTGCGGCGAATGAGCGGGTCCTTAATCGGGACGACCTCTTTATATCTTGATTTGTCTGCGAGGTATTGTCGGTGATTTGCCTTGTGTGTGGGGAACTCAGGGTCATCTGTTTTCGTTAGTATCAATTGCATTGGGCTTTGGATCAGGGTGAAGCCGGGTAAAGCATACATTCCAGAGCCCCGACCACTCCGAGGATGACATGATCGGCGACGACGGTTTCGATAATGGTGTTGTCATTGAGCAAAATGAGAGATTTCATGATGTTGCATAAACGATGCAAATCGATCAAGCTCTCTAAATCCTCAGCCATTGCCACTAGCGGTACCAATTTGGCGATGTACTCGTCGCGAATGATGTACTTGGATAGCGCATCTCGACCGCCCTGTGTCATGCTCGCAGCTCGTACAATCTGTTCGATTTCGGGGAGGTTTCCGAGTTCGGGCGCCGGTAATACGATGGATTGGTAGCTATCGAGGTCGTCGGACAAGGCGTCATCTTGGAAAACAATTAGAGCTGCTAGCTTCCAAACACGTGACAAACCTTACCAGCTGAAGTGAGACTCAATAGATGTTGTTGGACGGCATTGACAAAGTCCCTTTGATAGGGTTAGTTCATGCGCGCAAAGATTTTTGTTTGATTCCTCACCAAATGACCGCACAACCTTCGGCCTCTTGGAAACTCAGTGCCATATCCGTGCCATTCTGCTCTGTCCAAACAATCAAAGTCTCTGAATCGCGAGATACAGTTAGTCAACAAAAGACATCAAACAGTGATGAGACGGTGGTGGGATAGGTACCCTGTTGTTTTTGATAGCCATCGTCCTTGGTGATCCGCGTTTCGAGCAGGACGCGATTGGGTAGGTCTTCGGATTCGACAAATATGCGAGGCTCCTCCTAGTTCAAAGCTATTAGGTACTGATGATGATGACGATGCGCCCGGGATTGCGCGCGATGAAACATCGCACGACCCCCGGTGCGCGCACAACACGCGACAACTCACCCCCAAGATCTGACCCGTGCAGAAGCCAGTTCCTCGGTCAAACCAATCATTATCTTTTAGTTCATAAACCTTCACTCGTTTGCGACCGTCGGGCGGCTGAACTTCCAGCGCCATGGTCCGGCAGGAACAGGGAAAGGCGTCTCGTCACTCCGGGCCTGATAAAAGTGCACCGGCGCGAGAGGAGAGCCAAAGGGCGGTGGGGGAAAAAGGAATGGAATTAAAAGAAAGTTATCGGCGGATTGTGTGGTCTGTTTGAAAAGGGTTTGAAAGGGACGCAAAGAGGGAATGGAGGTGGAGATCCCAATGATGAAAGAGTCTGCGGAGGGGATGACGATCGGGAACAGGTCCTGAGAGGTCCACCTGACGGCCTCGGCAGGTACTTAGGGATTTTTGGATTTTTTCCCCTTACAGACTTCGAGAATTTGAAAAAGAAGCTTCTTCGGAGGATAAGAAGAGAAATTGAGATCTTTCGGATCTGCCAGAATTCCCTATGGTCCCTGTTTATCCCTATTTCATCTCTATCATCTCTACAATATTCCATGGATGTACCGAAGGTACCTAAAGTACCACTAACAACTTCAGACTATAACTATAGGTAGTTACCTAGTTCCAGGTACTTATGTGTGTTGTGCACACAAAGCAGAAATATGCTATCTTACTAGGAATGCAGCTTATGCTAAAATCTAGACTACTTTATCTTCGTCATTCTGGTGTTCTTCCATGATCGGCAGAGCTGGGAATGCATTCTTCAATTGTTCTCTCTCTCCAGGGGTTTCGGAATGGCGTCAGTCAAATATGTCATAAAGTATTTATAACAGCTGAGTCTGACTGTACAACCTAAATGTAATATAATTTAAGATCAATCTATAAATCTATAAATATTCTCTGCAAGGTCAACTTCAACGCATGGATCTCCACATATAATTACAAAGCTACCGGAGGGGGTACACGGGAAGTACTTCTCGTCAAGCTGGGATCTAGCCTTTCTCTTCAAGTGTCCGCCAAGTACCAGCCGCCTTACTTCAATCTGGCTGACTTAAACGACCAGACGGACGGCCCTGTCCGCAGCACAGACCCTCACCGCCCCCACTTTCCCTCTGTTGATTGGCTGTGTTTAATGTGGAAGGTTCTTATCGAAAATGGCCCGATCAGGAAAGGTTCCAGACGCTTTTCACCTTAGTGCTCGGGTTACTTTGAAGATTTCTGCTTCTTCATCCGATTCATCGCCAAACGGTATATCGATACACGAGCGACTTAGGGAGTTTTGCGCTCGTTTCAGTTTCATAAAGCTCCCTTTTATTGCTATATTGCTTCAATCTGCAACTGGTTTGCCATCTGCATTCAAACCCAACCCCGCTTTCTGAGCTCGCATCAGTCCACCATGTCTGAGTCGAAGGACCAAATCACCGTCCAGGCGTCTGGTGTAGACCATGATATCTCTACCCATTCACTGGCCAAAGATGCTCAGACGGGTGCACAAAGTTCGAGTTCCCAGGCGGAGGCCTCCGAGCGCCCTGTGGAACCTGCGGATCTGGTCGATCAGAAGAAAGGGTTCTTTGGTTATTTCAGGACTAAAGAATTCTATATCACCGTGGCTCTAGGGTAAGTAGCACTTCAGAAACTACAAGTCATACCTCAAACCCTAACTCAATTACTCACAGTCAAATTCTCGCTATTGCCAATACCTCGACGGGCACCTTCACCACGCTACTCGGCCAGGAAAAGTGGGCAGTCCCTGCGTTCCAAACCTTCCTAAACTATGTGCTACTCAACGCCATTTTCACTCCTTATACGATGTACCGTTACGGCTTTAAGGGCTGGCTCCGACTGGTATACCGTGACGGCTGGAAATGTATGCCCCCAATTTCCCCTCCCACATATTCCATATATAACCCCGACTAACCGCTCCAGACATCATTCTTGCTTTCTGTGACGTTGAAGGCAACTACTTCATTGTGCTGGCATACCAATACACAACCATGCTAAGCGCGCAACTGATCAACTTCTGGGCCATCGTCGTGGTCGTCATCCTCTCATTCCTTTTCCTGCGCGTTCGCTACCACATCACCCAAATAGCAGGTATTGTAATCTGCATCGGCGGTATGGGCATCCTCATTGCTTCGGACCACATCACCGGCACGAACGGCGGAGACATCTCCACAGGCAATCAGCTGAAGGGCGACCTGTTTGCGCTGCTAGGTGCGTCCTTCTATGGTCTCACCAACACGGGAGAGGAGTACTTCGTCAGCACTCGGCCCGTGTACGAGGTGCTCGGCCAGATGTCATTCTTCGGAATGATAATCAACGGCGTGCAGGCCGGTATCTTCGACCGAACCTCCTTCGACAATGCGCAATGGAACGGCAAGGTCGGCGGATACCTCACCGGTTACACGCTGTGTCTGAGCTTGTTTTACTGCCTCGCTCCGCTGTTGTTCCGTCTTTCGTCTGCGGCTTTCTTCAACGTCTCCATGCTCACCATGAACTTCTGGGGTGTGATCATTGGCGTCAAGGTCTTCCATTATCATATCCATTGGATGTACCCGATTGCCTTTGTTCTGATTATTGTCGGTCAGCTCATCTACTTCCTTGCCCAGAAGGTCTTGAGTGAAGCCCGCAAGCCCTGGCTTGGGACTAACCAGGAGCGTGGTGTTGTTGGTCTTTTCACTGCGAAGAGGAAGATCGTGCATACCATCCCTGCTGCTGCGGAATATCATGATCAAGCCCCTGAGCAAATTCCTGGGCACACTGCCACGGTGAACAACAGCTCTGTCTGATTGTTAAACTCGGTGAATCTCCTCCTCGTTGCTTTCTTCTTTTTGTATATCTGTGTGGGATTATGGGTGTGACTGCACATATAAGAAGATCTTCTAGATTTTATTTTGTGTGTTGCGTTAGATGCCTGTCAAGTCCGTGTTACCGCTACCCTGCTACTGAGAAGTACATGTACCCGGGTGGTTTCGATGCTGGACCGGGAGAGAAAAAGATGGATCTGTTTGCGTGCTTTCAACTAATGCTTAATCTTTTTCAACAATTTCTACTTCTATCTTGTTGAGATCAGACTACGAATCTTTATTTTGAGAATAAATCAATACACAGTTTATCACTTGTTTTGCGTATATAGGTACCTTGTCGACGTACTCCATAAGCAACATTGAAACCACTGGTACTAGGACTGAGCTGGAATGGAAATATAGTGTTATATCAGTGTAGCGTGGAAAAGCTAGCCGAACGGAGATCAAAACACAACTTGGATGAGATTACCACGTTGCAAGATGATAGTAGAAGGGATGACTACCATGTCCCGAGGTCGTGAAGCCAGAGACACGTTATAGAACCTACGTTTGTAGGACAAGACGCCGAGCAATGAATGAGAAATCGATAGGTATATAAGGACACGACATTCCCTTCTCTGATAAAGTCCATAGCAAGCCCAGAATCCGTTGAAAACATTAACCTTGGAAGTAAACAGACTCCAGCAAACCTTACATCAACCACATTATAGTCAAACCCCACTCACCTAAAACCTTGGAAGAAAAGGGGAAGAGTAGGAGAAAAAGAAACAATTAAAGAATATCCAAAACCAAGAAACATCCGTTTTGAGCCTCGGTTCGCCTCCTATCTCCATATGGAGATATATAGTAAAATCAGGCATTAAATAAAAGTCACAATGTGCAAGTATTCCCATATCACCCACCCCCAAAATATAAAAGAAAAGAGACCTGTGCATCCGACATGAAAAACACCGAGAAAAATGAGACAGCCCATACATAGCCCACGAGCATCACAGATAAAGCGCCATATTTCCGACCATATTCGCACGGGCACCGGAATAGCAAAAACAAACAAAAAAGCAAAACAAAAATAACATGCTGAGCCCAAGACCGGGGGAAGGCGAAGAAGGCATCGTATCATCCAGACAGATCCAACACCAATTTAAAATGGGGGAATATTTCCAAACCCCAGTAAATCCCCGTCGCTTTTTTCCCCTGCCTAGTAGTAAGCCAGCTCAACCCCAAGTCCAATATGCAACATGCGCCAACTTGGAGTAATGCCATCAAAAAATCAGAAATCCGGGGATGTGGTGTTCTATCCCCAAACAGAAGCTTGCACGCCGAGCCCGCTCTTGGAGCTCCAGACGCCACTGCCGTTGCTCCAGCCGAGGCTAACACCGCCAGCCTGGTCCTTGGCGCCAGGGGCACCAGCTGCAGAGGTCATAGCTGGGCTAGGGCCGGCCGAGGAGGTGCGCTCGGTGGCAGGGCCAGCAGTGGGGTCGGCGGGAGTGAAGCCGAGCCCGAGCGGGGAGGGGAGAGGGGTGATGGAGCGCTTGTTCAACGCCTGGTTGGCAGGGGGCGCAGATGTCTGGCCGGGGGCAGGACGGGAACCGATGGGACCGACGGAGCCGATAGGACCAGCGACGGGCTTGGAAGGGGCCTGGCGGGATGAGGGCGAGTCGGCGACGGGCGACGAGGTCGAGGTTACGGGCTGCTCGGCGCCGAAGCTGGCGTTGATGGCGGAGCTAGGCGAGGAGGTGCTGTTGGCGCGCGAGGGCGACTGCAGACCCGTGGTGGCATCGGCGCTAGTGGTGCCGGCCTGTGTCAGACCGAATGGGTCCATGCCTCGCGGGGAGGATCCACGGACGGCGGACGACGGGGTGCCGCCGCCGGCTTGGCTATCTGGGCGTGGGTTATCATCGGAGAAGGCACCGGGCGGGAAGAAGGCTGGGCTTTCGTTGCCGTACAGGGCGCGGTGCTGGCGGGCGAGGAGTTCGCGACGACTGTCCTCGCTCACGGCAGCTGGGCTGGTGGAGCGGTCGGATTTGGATGCAGACATCTCGGCGAGGAGGCCTTGAAAGGAAGAAGAAAAGTATTAAAACCCCGTGTTCAAAGAAAAACGAAGAAGCCAAACCAAATATATTACACAGGCCGACGGATACATAGATGCAAAGGAAGTGAAAAGAAAAGAGAAAAAAGCCGACGGGGGAATATAACGAGGCTCAAAAAGAAGAAAAAGACAGACGCTACCACGTACTTCGGTTGTACTGTTGCTCCTGGTGATAGTTGCGGAGTTCCCTCTCACGCTGTGCTGCCATCCGACGCTTCGCCTGCATCATCTGTTCCACCTCGTTGGGACGACCCTGGTACCGCTGGGAGGCATAGAAACCCTGGGCATTGCCAGACGGGGGGACGCGATTGCCATCGAACTCGCTGATCGAATGGTGTCGCTGAGGGCCACCACCCATACGAGGGTCTGTCAAGAGACAAGTCAGAAACGCGTTCTGGGTGCCATCCGTGCCCGCAACATACCGTAGTCGGGGTAGGGCCGGCCCATCATCATGGGCATCGAATCCCGCCGAGGAGCATTCCACAGCTTCCCGCTCTTGACGAGATTGTCGATCGCACGATCGACCTCTGTCAAAAAAAAAAAAAAGGATCAGCACTCGTCCCAAAAGGTTTCCCAAAAAAAAGTATGCCCATGTTATCTCCACAACTGCCTCGCTTCAAAACCACCAACTTTTTCCCCCATTATGCGATTCGGTTTTCGGAGAAGCAATTATAAAGATCCAAGCAGAAGTGTGTTCGTACCGTCAAATTGAGAGGAAAAGGCCGGGATATCCTCGCGCTGGGAGACCGAACTCGATCCTGTTTGTCAAATGTCAGTTTTGCTCGGAATGCTCGGCGTTTGATCCCATACCTGACCGGGAGGGAGGCGCCGGCTGCTCCCAAGAGGCCTGGCGCGCAGCGGGTGCTTGCCAGCCCTGAGGTTCGTAGTACGAAGACATTGTCGAGATCAAAAGGACCGAAGGTGCGACGGTTCAGGGGGGGAGAGGATGATCCGGTCAGAGGCGATCTGTCGAAAAAAAAAATGTGAGCGTCGATCCACAACACACACGTTTCGAAACCTTCTCCAGATCTTCTTTCAACACATTAAAAGAAAGTATCGAAATTTGAGATCATAAAAAAAAATTATCCCGGTCTCGGTAAAACCTTTTGTGTTTTTTCCGCGCTCTTTCAACTATTTTCAATGGGGTATAGTATAGGATTTTTTTTCCACCCCATTGGAAATAGAATATAATCAAGGGACTTACGGGAAATAGGCCTCTATTTCTTTCTACCACGAGTCAACGAGGCAGAGGAAGTCCAAAAATTGGAAGGATGAAGAGAAGAAAAGGAGAGAGAGAGGGTCCTATGGGGGGGGAAGTGGATGTGTATTACCTTATGGAGGGGGGGGTTTTCATAAATTGTACGGAGTACATAGTACATAGTACATAGTATACGGGGGAAAAAAAGGAGAGTCCTTTTTCTTTTTTTATTTCTTTTTTAAAGTAGGACAACACATATTAAATACTTTACCTAACTTGTTTTCTGTTGTCTTAGTGTCTACCTAGGTACTCCGTATATGGACCATATAACTAGATACCTAAGTCTCTTACGTTGTGCTGAACATTCAAAATCAACCTATTTGTCATTCAATGCTTTCATTTAATACCAATTCCTTTTTTTTCTGTACATCGAAGATCCCAAGTACGCGGCAATTCCCGGCAACCCAAGGGCTTCTATTCGTCACTGATGGGGCCGGTCACCGGAGATTGGATGGGGACACGGGGGCGTGTGTCTAAGCGTCGAGCTCCCCTCGTGTCTGATAGTTACTGTTACTTATTATTCAACTATTGCTGTCTCTAGACCCCGTACGGTGTACCACTTTTATACTTGATGCCATGTATATTATACTTTACATTTCAATGTTCGAATCTTGGAAACTTGGCCATTCCCCGCTTAAAACTGTGGACATTGACATTGTGTTGCCCTTGTGCCGTATGCCCTAGTTAGTACTTCTAAATACTCTATTTCGGTACAATATTCAAGGATTCCAAGTTTCTAAAATCTATATTCTGAGATTCTCGACACAATATAACCCGATCTAAACAAGGGATTCCCTGGAGGCAACGTATGATGATGGCAACCTTGGAAAGTGCAAAGGCTCTGCACTATGCAGTCAGCTTGCCAAGAACCTTCTGTCTGTGGACGCCATCGGAGGCTGCAAGTGAACACTCTAGTCGCATCTGGAACGTGATCTGCAGCTCCATGTATAGAGGTCAGTACAAACGCATGCAATAAGTATATATCGCCCGCTGTAGCCTGTTCAAATATAGAGAGCCTCGTATACATCTGGTTGAAGCAAGCCCCTTAAAACCCCCATAACCAAGTAGATGAGAAACTATACCTACACACAGGAGTAGATGCAATGCAATAGTAACATCGCTGCTTCCAAAATACACTTTCAATGGTGCTTTGACCAACTCGGTCAATTCAGGAGAGGTGGGGCAACGTCCGTCGGCCATCATTTTATATTCTTCCGCAAGGTCCGCGCCCCTCTGAACTCGATTGGCCGCTGCAATGTTCATGTATGTATTCACCCGGCTCGACCGGCCAGTCAGCAGCCCGAGTCCTCCCCCGCATGTACATGGGACTATTTCTATAGGTGTGATCGGGGTGAATCAACTCTAGAACAGGATATTGGAGGCAACCGGGGTACTCATATATATAGAGTAGAAGAGGGATTTTGCTTTTATGGTTCACTCACCCGATATCAGCTCCCCCAGGCTCTGCCCGCTTGTCTGTGTTCGACCTAGCGGGAAGGTACAGTATTCACACTTCCCTTCAAACCCTCCGGAAATGTACCAGCAGGATATGCTCAAGCATGCCTCCGCGTTACCTTTGGGAAGCGTAATAACTCCTCACTCGTCATACATGGGACTGTGCCCGGCCGAATTTGGTCCTAGTCATACTAGCCGGATGCTTGATTCTATGGGGGCCATGTTATAACTCGGCTGGAGCTGCGTTGATAGCTGCTTAGTGTCAGTCTCGAAGAGGGGTAAACTGTTGAAGTTGTTTACTTGTTTACAAAGAAACAAGCCAAAACAAGCCTCATATCCCCAATATGGCGACCCCCAGCCCATATAAACAAAGGCTACTATCTCACGACTGACACCTCGGTTAGCATTAGAGACAAATAGTCCAATTGATATTATCTCCCAAGGTTCATCATCGGATCCGGGGGCCACTGCTCGGACTCTGGAGTGTAGTATCGCTCCAATGGTGGTCCATGTTCCAAACAAAGAAGTAGGTAGTATGATTCAGTGTTCCAGATATCTCGAGTCACCGAGGATTCAGTGTCAACTGAATCATAGATTTCTTACTAGATTCTTTGACAGGAAACAGCATATCTATGTCATATGTATGCCTCAGGCCATTGACATGGATTAGGTTATACTAGTGAGCAGCACGTGCAAGGACCATGCTGATCGCGGGGAGAAGTGAAGAACGACAATCAGGAGGGAAAAGGAGAGTTCCACATATGGATCATTCAAGGGCTTTTATCAGGAATTGATATGTTCATTCTTCATTCAATAGCCAGTAGACTAGGGGGCTGAGCAAGCAATACTGTGTTATCGATAACCTGTCGTCATGGTACCTGCATGAATGCATAGCTCGGTGATACTGCGGGCAACTTTGGCCGCATTTTGGATTTCTGGCTTCAGGTTTCAGGGTTCCTGGGCTCAAGTAAAAAAAGAATAAAGGAGTAGTGAGAAAGATATAAGCGAGAGATCATATTAGAGACAAAGGACAGAAGTCAGCCCCTAATTGTTACCATAATAAATGAGGATAGGAGAGCTATGCCCCAATAGTCTCACTCCGTGGGCTACTCCGTCACAACGTTAATAACGCTAATTTCTCACTCAACACATCTCTTCGAACTTGCAAATACCTACCCTGGGTATATTCATTCGATTGCTCCTCGACTTATATACATAAAATCGTTGACGTTGGGGAAAGGAGTTCTTTAAGAGGGGACGGTCGGCAGTGTGTCTTTACCGCCGACAGGGGCTGACCTCAGGGCTTCGATCATCTTCACAACTTCTCAAATTCCCCTCTCTGGCTACGCTTCCTTTCCTCAACAATCGGAAACCCAGGCTGGTTCCTACAAATTCGCTTAAAGGGACAAGACTGTATGCTCCATCCAGTACTTTGGTCCTTTTTCGTCTCTTTTCTTTGATCCAATCCTCGAAACGTCCGCTCTCTTCTCTCTCACGAAGACCGTTATTTTTTTTTTACTATTTTCTTTTCGTGTCTTATTTTCATCTCCTGGTTGAGGCATTGTCTTTTTACATCTCTTGAATTCTTATCGGTCCCGAGTGAAAGGATTAAAAAAAAAAATCGGCTTTTCGCGACTTTGGTCGAGGGCGATTGAAAGTCTCCCACCACAAACGACCTGCTCCCCAGTTGTCTCACCATATCAACGAACCCTTGACGTGTTACACACGTGCCATAACCTGCCTCGCCCGAATTTATCGATCAACCAATTTCTCCGGTGATTTCCAACTGATCGGAAACTGAGGGGATTATATTGTGTGGTGTGTGGGAGTGGACTCTTATCTCTTTTGCCGAGCCCCGTACGGAAGGACCACAACGGTGTGGGAGTTGTGAATTGCTATATGGTCGCAAAAATCGATGGGAATGCAAAGTGTTCCCTCCACCTTGACGTCGCCTCGCTAGCGTCGGCGCAGCCCTCCACGATGGCATGGACGCCGCAATCTGATGTGCCACCATCTGACGTGCCCGAGACCGCCGCTCGGCCTCCCTTGACTTCGCACCAGTCCAATTCCCTTCCTTCCACCCCATACCAACATGCGCGCAACCTATCGTTCCACTCCCGGTCGCCGTCCCCCGCCCGCGGAAGCACCTCCCCTCGATCAACCCACTCCGAGGCCACACATCTACCCCCATTCTCCCGGAAACCGCTCGGAGGATGTAAATATGAGACCGCCATGGCATATTTTCGACGACGGATACCGTATAGCCTAGGGGCAGATATACTACCGGAGGAGAAGGGCACATTGAAGGAGCAGCTTAGCCCGGACGAGGAGGAAAAATTGTCGACCGAAACCATGGATCTGTATGATCGATTGTTACCATCTGCCGAGAGTGATGATCGACGACGACAGCTTGTTCGCAAATTGGAGAAGCTTTTCAATGACCAATGGCCGGGTCATGATATTAAGGCGAATATTTTTGGCTCGTCAGGGAATAAGCTCTGTTCTAGTGACTCGGATGGTAGGTTTTTCTTTTTGGACATGAGAGAGACCAAAGGCACAATTACTAACTTGCGCAGTGGACATTTGCATCACAACCAACTACAAGGAATTGGAGCATGTGTGCCTGTTGGCTGAGGTGTTAGCTAAACGTAAGGAATCGCCGTTGGCACAGCTTGATTGAATGATAGACTAACCTGAACAGACGGGATGGAACGGGTGGTGTGTGTGTCGCACGCAAAGGTCCCCATTGTGAAGATTTGGGATCCGGAGCTCCGATTAGCCTGTGACATGAATGTCAATAATACCTTGGCGCTGGAAAACACTCGAATGATCCGGACCTATGTTGAGGTGGATGAAAGAGTGCGGCCTTTGGCAATGGCTATCAAGCACTGGACGAAGCAAAGAATTCTCAATGATGCAGCCCTTGGAGGAACCCTTAGTTCTTACACCTGGATCTGTTTGATCATTAATTTCCTGCAGACAAGAAACCCTCCAATTCTCCCAAGTTTGCAAGCACGTCCGCACAAGAAGAGGACGACTCAAGATGGATTGGTCTGCTCGTTCGATGACGACCTCAAGACCTTGTCTCAATTTGGCCGCAAGAACAAGCAATCAGTTGGCGAGTTGCTCTTTCAATTTTTCCGGTATTATGGCTACGAACTTGACTATGAGAAGAACGTCATCTCAGTACGGGACGGCACCCTGATCAACAAAGAGGCCAAGGGCTGGCACCTGATGTTGAACAACCGACTGTGCGTGGAGGAGCCGTTCAACACGTCAAGAAACTTGGGCAACACCGCCGATGACACCTCGTTCCGGGGATTACATTTGGAATTGCGCAGGGCTTTCAAACAGATCGCAAACGGTGATCTAGAAGGGTGTTGTCAGCAGTTTGAATTCCCAGCAGAAGAGGAGCGGACCTGGGAACGACCACCACCCCAACCACGGCCAACTCTGACACCTTCCCTCCCATCGCGGGGTGGACGGGGAGGAAACCGCGGCGGCAGATATAATAACCAGTTCTCGCGAGGTGGGCTCACTGGCGGGCGACGACAGTCAAACACCGGAAACAAGTCAAACTTCCGGCAGCCGAACACCGGCAATGTGTCAGATATCTCTCTGCATGCACAACAGCAAGCCCAGTATCTTCTGCATGACCAATTATACCAACAAATCCAGCTTTTGCAGGCGCAGGAGCAAGAGTTGCGGATGCAATTGCATAGCCAGGCATTGATTACTGGGAGACCACCGCCGGTATTCATCCGTCAGCCATTTATCCAATTTCCAGTTCCTCAACAGCAAGAGTTTCCAGAGGAAACCTCACGACCGAGATCAGGAACAGGAACAGCAAGCCATGCTACTCTTAGCCCAACTCAACGACAGCAAACAATTTATAACCCGACTTATGCTTCAGTTGGTGCATCTGGCTCGCAAGCGACCATCACCAACCCTCCCTCGCCGTCTGCTGTCAGTGTTATGCCTGATACTCGCCGTAACTCTCGGCGATTGTCGGCTGCCAATGGATCCCCGAAGTCTCTTCGTGCGCATTCACAACCTGCAAGACCTCAAGGCTCGCCCTCTCTTCCTAGCTATATCCCCCTTTATACCATGCCGCCACCCACGGAGAACTGGTCAAAACAAAGGCCGACCACCGAGTCGTCAGAAGGCGGAGAAGGCAGTGGTGATGAGAATGCAATGCGCTCAAACAGTCTGGCCAGCAATGGATCGCGCTCAAACTCCGTGGACGACAACCGGCAACAAGATGTGTTGGGTTATTATATAACTCCTCAACAACTTCAAGCCTTCCAGCAAGGTTCCATGCTGCCGCCATTGTCCACACAGATGGGTCTGGTCTCAAACGGATATTCGTTTATTCCCCTTCAGCCAGATTACCGATCGGGATCGTTCTCGTCAGAAACGGCTCGCTCAGAGCACACTCCAACTTCCAAGCCCCCGTCGCAACCGACCCAATCCGCTCCACGCCCAGTTGCACCCGGCCCGTTGATCGTTGATGGATCGGTGCGTCCGAGTGAGCACCGCTCGGCATATGCGTCTGACTTGATTGACCCTTACTCTGCGGTAAGCAATTACACGTCGTCGGATGATCACAACATGAACACACCTGCAAGTTTCTCCGATTCTTTGTCTCAAGATTACCAGGATTCCTCGTCCTTTGACTTGGAGAACTCGGGTGTCTTCACTCGGCCATCTACGGAAACACAAAAGGTCAATGGTGTGGCAGGGGAAAAGCAGTCAGACGTGAATGGCCAATCTGAGCTTCTCGCTAGTCGGCTGCAGAACTACCACCTATCGAATTCCGAGAAGCTGGTGCAGCAACCCGCGAAGACAAGTAGTCCGGATCGACCAAGAAATGGCACAGCACAAGGACCAGGAAAGGAAACCGGCCAGCCTAAGCACTCGGGACAGATGGGTGAGAAACCTGCTGCATCCGGACCGAATGAGAATCGGCACCAGTCGACCAACTCGAAGCGCCGGAACAATGGAGACCATTCCGACAAGGCGAACGGTGTTAACGGCAAGAGCAAGCCCAAAGGCCAAGGTCGACACGACGGCTCTCACAACGCTGCTCCGGGCACCAAAGATCGGCACACCGATTCATCCCGAAGATCAGGCGGACAGTCTAACGGCACGAACGATAGCAACCACGGATGGCAGACGACGAAGAAGAAAAACCGCAAGAACACCAAGTCGTCAATGGAGTCTCGAAATGGCATCAATGGTGGTCATGAGCTCGTTCCAGCAGATGATTCTTTGCGAAAAGGCGGTTGACTAAGTGTGTATCATTGCGCTTCCGAAACTATTTCCAGCACATGAGGAATGAGCAGATACTCACGTCTTCAATCTGATTCCATTGCCGTTCACACGGTATCCCCCCAAACGAACTCACGTTCCCCTGAAATACGTTGTTTTGCTCTTTGTTTTTTTTTATTTCCCCTTTTCCCATGAGGGATCAGGGTCCATATATGCGTGCATTCGTTGCCATCGGGAAAGTTGGCCGGTTCATTTTCCAGGAAACGCCTCCTATGCATTGAGACGATTTCTTTTCCAGTTGTTTGGAGTTCTTTGTGTTTCAATGGTTAGACCCGGTTCCGTGTCTGATGCTTTTCATTTTTCTTATGCCAAATTTTTTTTTTTTTTTTTTCGGTCCTGGTTCTGTACAAAAGAGAAAGAGATTAACTTGTTGCCAATGAGAAACAAACCAAAATTTTCGAAAAATGTGTTCCTTTTCCTCTTCCTGCTCAGGTCGTGATATCTGATATCTCATGGATTGCATCCCGAGGTCGTCTTTGACTCGTCTGCTCTTCCAACTTCTAACCCACTTCGTCTTTCTTAGCCTGCAGTCAGTCAACAAAGTATCTATAAATGGAAGACCGGGCTGCAAATAACAAAGAACAAAGGGAAGAAAGGGAATGGAAAGTCTCAGTTCTCAAACCCTCTCTCTCTCTCTTCCTCTCTTCATCGTGCTCATCCTCATCCTCATCCTCTCCCACCTACCTCACCAAGAACAATATCCAAAGCAAACCTCATCGGTTTATCAAACCACGACAAACGTCAAATCCACAAAGAATCCACGCACATACCTACACCGAACATCATACATACCAAAGTGTATCCCAACCCCAAACAACAAATCCCCTAATCTCAACCTCCAAAAAGAGAAGAAAAAATGATGTGGAAAATAATCCTCCCATTTATGCTGTATTTGTATTATTGCTTTTTCTTCGCCTACGGGGTAATCAGCGAGACCTTGTCTAGCATATCCTTCGTGCATAATTGCGCCATTCGATCAGTCGGTGCCGTCATGTCTCTTTTCTCTCTGAATTTGAATTGGTCGAATTCGGGGTTCCAGTTGCCTGGGGTTGGTGCTTTGCCTTGGCTTGGTCGTGTGTCTGTCCCGATGCCGATTGCGCCTAACTTCTTTGCGTTTTCGTTTACGTTTTGCTTTGGGGTTTTGGCGTATTTGCTTTGTGTTGATTTGTTTTAAGGGTTTTGGTTTTGGGATATTGATGTTTGTCTAGTGTATCTGTATCTGGTGTTTGTATGGAAGTAAGGGGGTTGGGATGTGTACCTGGGCATGTTTGTGCTACGGGAGGATGTGAGATGATTGGAGTTGATTGTCTTTTCTTTTTGGGCATTTTTATGTAGCATTGGCGGGGAGAAAGCGTTGATTCTTGGAATGTTTGAAATATATTGACATTGTATCATTTATCATGGAGATAATAGTATATAGCATATAGTATATAGTACAGTACATCTGTAACACTGATCTCGCAATGTATCAGATGCAGTGGGAAAATGCTGGGCAAGATTAAATCACATAAAGGCGTTGGGAAGACAAGAACAGGGCGAAGATGGGATATTAAAAGAACAGGCTGGTCGGGTAAAATGGACAAATATGTTCACCTGGAAGAGAAAATAAAATGATATGCTGGGAATCTCCATTCTGGCTTTTTGGAAGGGAATTAAAACACCAATTGATGAATATGAATCCAAACCAGATTAGTACCAGATCTCGGTCCAGATGTATGGCAACATCACGACAGCGGCCGTGTACAATATCATGACGGCGTAGTATGGGGCTAGGAGTAGCTTGGGAAAAGGGGTATCGCAGATAAGAATCCAGATGGAGAGGAAGGCGACGGAGACGAAGTGGCTGACGAGGACGAGGGGTTTCTTGATCAGACCGGCCAACAGCCCAATAGGGCCGCCAACTGATCCAGTCTGGAAGTAGCGGAAACAGCCACGCTGAAGAGCTTTGAGGTATTCGTCTATTGATAAACAGTTAGTTATCGGGAATCAACGAAAGAGTGAGCATACATACTGTCTGCAGCGAAGAGCGTATAGAGAGACTGTGCGAGGATATTGATGACAGAAGAAGAATTCTTCCTCCTCCAGTGGAATTCCGCAAGCTGTTCGAGAACAAGTCCTGTATTGGAGAGGTTGGGCACGCGCTCTGGGCTGAGCAACTCGCGGATGAGACAGACATCGTTGAGCGCCACCGTCATGCCTCCACCCGTGAGAGGGTGCCGCATGTTGAGCGCATCTCCCATAATCATTAAGCCGGGTGTCTTGTTGACCGAGGCAGGCAGGAACGAGTTCGGCATGGACCGTAGCTGGCCCTGCTCTAGCGCATCGGAGAACGACTGCTGCGCACCCTCTGGAAGCTGGGGCAGGATATTGTTGCGCATGTAACCCTTGACACCACCATTCTTCACAGAGGCCAGAGGCAGGTTATCGGGGATATCGATAAGGATTCTAGTCTCGTGGGTGCCGATCTGGTACATGAGCACGGGTGGGTTATCGCTGAGAAGGACATGACCAGTGTTGGGCGCGGGGAGCTTAGCGTCGATGAGCTCTAAACCATAGAACTTTGATCGCCGTTTGGGTGTGTATTGGTGATGTTGCTTGCGGAAATCCGAGTTGTAGCCATCGGCGGCAACTGTGAGTTGGCCAAAGTAGCAGTCCTTGAGGTCCTTGGTCATACACTCGACTCCAAGGACTTCCTGGGTATATGACGATATGACGAGATTGGTCACTTTGGTTTCGACCACTGTGACATTGGGACAGGACAGAGCGGCTGCCCGTAGTTTCATCACGAATCGACCATGATGGAAGGCTCGTCCTAACGGTGTAGGTGAGGTTGGGGAGGACTTGGGGTATTCGAGAAGAACCGGCTCGCCAAAGTAAGAAACCCAGTATCCCTTCACATCAATTCCATCGATATCTTCCAGACAATCTCGTAGCCCTAGTTGCTCGAGCGCCTGAACACCTCCCGGTTGGAGTAATTCACCAACAATGCGGTTGGGCTCCTCCAACGACCTTTCCAGCAGGATCACACTGCGTCCTTGATTTCCCAGTGCGACTGCAAGCGCACAGCCTAGAATCCCGGCACCCACAATTACAACATCAGCTTCGTGGTGGTCGATGCGGCGTTGAGCGGCCGGAGAAAGGGAGGCGTGGCCATTGAGCGCGGAGGCCATTTTTGGTTGTAAAAAAGAGTAGATATTGTCAGAACGGAGACGACGGAGGCAGGACCATTATCGGCCTGAGCGATTGATTTAAAGAAAAGTCGATTGGCTGTTGTTTATGGGCTGATGTGTTTTTTTTTCCTTTGCGGAGAAAGGGGTGGCGTGACATGTGAAAGTATCCCTCTCTCCGCCTTCTCAGTTCTACGCAGCAGGGGACATCACGATGTTATCCGAGTGGACTGATATGGACAACAATGTAGTTACAGGCGTATGGATACATGTATTTAGGAATCTATTGTGTCTATTTTACATAGTACTATTTACATTATTATACATATTCACTGAGACGCCCGATGTCCCTGATAATCCTCATACTCCATGTACTCCTCGTAGGCACCTCCAGGTGAAAACTCAAGGTGATAATCGGACGAGTATTTCTCGGGTGTATAATACGCACCCCAATTCGCTGGATTGTTCCACGGGTATTCGGGATCTTCCGAAGGGACGGTGTGCAAGTTTGAGACATTGGACTCAGCCCACCACTTTGCATGATCAGGAGCGTCGAACTGCTTGCGCCTGAGCAACAGATCCAACTCCCACTCTTCATCAAAGTTCATGATGAGTTCCGCTAGGTCTGTGGTGGGCAGTAAGTGTTGTTGCTCACTGAGTTTGAATGGCTTGGAACGCTTCGACTTTTTCAACTCCGGGTGAACATTGATGGCTGACCAATGCGAATCACCTTCTAACTTGGCCTCCAGTGCCCCCACGATTTGCCGTAGTACCAACACTTGGCCCGCGGCGTCGTAGGAGCTAGAGGATCTGATCGCAGTTTCCAATGAGCCCAACTGAGAGGTAGCTTCCACGACAAAGTCTTGATTGATGGGCTCATTCCGCGAGAGGACTGTCATTATGCACCACCAGACCCCCTTGAAGTTATGGACCTTGGCAAACGCACGCAGCAGCATCTTTAATAGTACCTGATCGAAGCCATGAGAGAGCCGCCACCGAGATTGGTAGATTGTTGTGAGGAGATCGACGGCAAGTTCTGGCGTTCCACCCCCAATGAGGTAACGGCTGGAAGAAGTCGCGCAGAAGTGCTTCACCAAAAGACCATTGGTGTTCGCACAAATATCATAATATTCAAAAATGGCCATCTTGATCAAGCCTCCATACCCAATGGCTTCTGGGTCCACCTCCATGACCCGCTGGAAGAAGATGGGAATCCACGAAGTAAAACGCTTGCTATAACGGAGAGAAGGAACATTCTTCCAGTAGTCCCATTCGGATGTAATCAGACGTCGTGCGTTCGGCAAGCCTGTCTTTTTGCAGCTGAGAATCGCGGCGATCACAGCCAGCTTCAGATGAAGTGGTCTAACAACGTAACCACCCCCAGATGCGTGATTGTAAATTGCCAGAGCATCGGTGTGCCTGCCCATGTTGATAAAGTGCTCCATCCGCTTGTGGAGCGGAACATACAAACTGGCACTTTTGGAGGCCACCATCTCGCTCACCGTTTGAGGGAAAGATTCCTCAGCGGGAATGTGAATTGGGGCGATTCTATCCCCTCGTACCGCCCAAGTGTCAGAACTAGACCCAAGGATGCGCCGGGAAGAAGTTAAATGATCTTGTCGGTTCTTGGCGGCTTGCTTCAGCCGCCAGATTCCCACAGGGTTGTCGGTCATCGCAAGTCTTCGGCTCTTCACGAGCGAGTTGATAAACCGATCATCGATACCAGTATTCCAATTCTGATCGTAGGCCATGTCCATAATGGTTGTGATCATATCTTCATTGCCCTTTTCAATGATCGCTTCGAGTATGTGTCGGTGGAGCACCTTGTCGGGTTGTATGTCAAAATCGTTGATACAAGAAGTGACGAAGTCGAGAATTTCCTGGCCGGTGTGGGTGGGATAGTATTCCAAGAAGACGCGGTCGAAAATCATAGTGAAATCCTTCTTTGATTGGGTGTAACCGTGCTCGTGCATAGCATACATGCCATCCATGACCTTGTCCCATTCACAGTTAAGCGCTTTGTTGTAGATAATCAAGCCAATGGTCCGACATCCAGGCTCGGTCCCATAACGTGTTGACATCGCGTTGACCATAGCTTCAGCTTCTTCGGCCCGACCAGTTTCAACCATGGCCTTGACCATTGGGTTGAAAAGTTTCTCAGTTGGTTTCCGATCGAGTGATTCGAGACGTTTGAGAATGAGGCCGAGTTGGGAAGACAGCAATTCCATGCTCCTGGTCTTCCTCCATAGTCCATCAAGATAAGCACCACATAGACCACAGTCACGGTCATCCTCAAAGCGCTGGAAGAAGAGGAATTTGGCGGAGTCCAACCGTTTGGACTCGATCAGACATCGGAGAACGACCTCCAACAGATGCTTTGGAACAACAAAGCTGGTACTGAATTTATCATATATAACGCCGACAGAGTCGATGTGGCCCTCTTTCGCAAGCAGATGCATCAGTGTAGCCCACATCTCCCCTGATACGACACTGACTTTGTCCAAGCGATTGAACAAAGTTCGAGCAACGAACAGATTTCCCTTGATGCAGTTTGCAGTGAATATAATACATGCAAGCTCTCTGCGTTCCCAAGAAATGTTAGGTGCCTGCCGAGTGTGCGCTAAGAACAAATTCGCAGCAGTGATTTCCCGCTCTTCAGCTAACAACCTGCGGATTTCGGCATCGAAGGGCAGCTTGCCAGAGTCTCGTGCAAGTTCGCCCTGCTGTTTCTCACGAGCCAGAATTTCAGCATTCAGGGCCAAGCTTGGAGTATCGATGTGTCCCGTGTAGTTGGATTGTGCAGTTGGATGGGTCCCAAAGAGCGAACGTTTTGAGCGAGCATGGTGTTTTTCCAAGCTAACCAGGGGCTTGGGCTTGGGCTTTGGACCATCCTTTTCTGTCTCGAACCCTGGCTCATCTGGCCCGTCTGGTACAGGTACGTTCCGATTCCTCGCCTTGAGGGATTCAATGCCCATGAATTCGCCCGCTTCCGCTGCCTCAACCATCACCTTGAGTCGTTTGGCGGCAGATGTTGCATCGTAATTCGGAGCAGTGCTGTGCAATGTTCGTTTATTCTCAATGATTTTCTCGGCGATGCGGACCCGGCGATGGGCTTCGTACGTGAGGGCTGCGACGGTGCAGAATCCGCCAACTGTTGAGCCGGCCAGGGCCAATTGGCGGAGCACACGGAGGGCATTTGGAGAAGGGATTATTGAGCCGGATTTTGCGGCGCGGGAAAGCATATTGGAGATGCTGAGCGCGGGTTGCGCGCAAGTTCACCAGTCGTGCATGAGCGGCCTCGCACCAATGTTCCGAAATGTGGAGGTAATTGAAGCGAATGAAATGTAAACAGCTCCAACCACCAGCTATGATCCAAGATTAGGTGTACAGGCAATTGAAGCTGAGAGCGTAGGGTAAGTTCGGAGCAACTTCTTTTTTCCCGATGCAAATCAACTTGCGCGTTAGGCCGGTGCCGCTTGCCGGAGCCTGACCTGGTCATACGACCCATGGATCTAACCGGATAGATACATCTTCGGCTTCCTGTCCCCAACAAGATATCAAACATATCTAGAAAAAAAGAAAGACGTGGAAAAAGGCCCCAAGGTATATGACAAAGAACGTCGAGCTGGCCTTAGCATATTCTATGGCTTCTCTGGGACTATCGAGATGATTTGTGTGTGTTTCTCCAATAGCTCTATAGTTTTCTATTTCTAGCATACATCAAGCATCTTCATCACTTCATTCCCAACAGCTATATATGTATCGATCGGAGTTCTCTGAAGTAAAAAAAAAAAAAAAAAATTGTGTATTTCAATCACGTAGAACATCCATGGATGTTCCATTAGAAAAGAGGCTGACGAGACAGACATATAATATATGCAAGAAAGTGCAGCATAGTATCTCAAAGGTCCGTCCATCATAGCAAAAGCCTGTCATGCTCGTCGGCATCTTCTTCCACTCTTAGATCGGCAGGAGGTCCACCATCTAGGGTGACTGGCACAACAATTAGTATATTTCTTGTAGTAACTCAGGAAAATAAACATACCATGCGACTTGATTAGCAGACTCATGAGGAATGCCACACCAAAAACAGCTGCAAGTGCCACAAACACTGTCTGAGGTAACGTTGCAACAGTCAGACTGTAGATTAAGTTAAAGACAGTAGGTGCAACAACTCGAGCAAGAGCATGCAAAAGACCAGTGGCACCGAGCATCTGTCCAATACGTTCATGAGGCACATGCTTGGTCAGAGATGACTGCAGGATTGCAGACCCCATGCCACCTAGCGAGGCGACGATACCAGACATTATCATGACTGACGGTGTCTTGGACAGAGCATAGCCAATGTAGCCCAGTATATCGAATATTATCGATGTGCGGATTAGAACAATGTCCAGCATGTCTGAGCCGCTAATGGTTCCATCTTCCTTGCACGGCGTGCGGAAGAACATAGAGACAAGCGGAAGCACCAGGAAAAGATTGACCACTCGCACCACATTAATGATCGCCACAAACAGACTGGACTCCACGCTGCCCCAGTTGAACATGTATCCGGCGTAGATGATGATAACCTGTACTGTGCCCATAGCGACTCCAAATACAGCGGTATCGATAGCAGCCAACAGCATGATATTCCGGCGTAGAGCCGGACTTGCACCGCGGCGGTTAGGGAACAAGACACTTGGTTTTCCAACGGCGGGCATCAGGATTGCAAGCGGGGTGATCAGGTTCATTGGGTTCCAGACACGCCAAGAGTACCATTTGGGAGACTCAGCGTCCACGATTTTCATGCGATGCTTCTCGCGTGCCGCGAGCTGCCGATCTTTGGACAACGATTCAGGTACGATGAAGAAGATCGATAGACAGAAAGTCGCATGGAATGCAAGTGCAATGTAGAAGACGAGTAGCGTGCCTCCATGCTTGATCAAAAATGCTGCACTGGCAGGTCCAGCTGCGATCCCAAAGAACAGAGCACCGTGGAATAAACCAAATGCCACGCTTCGCTTTTCGATTGGCGTACAATCAGATGCATAGGAATGGATTAAAGCCTGCGCGGTGGTAAATGATCCACCCAGTCCATCCATGACTGCTCCAACCAAAAGCATATTGACCGAGACCCGCTCTGGCC